TTCTCAGAAAAATATCTGGTAGCGCCGGGAATCGAACCCGGACCTCTGGATCTATAGCCAGGAACGCTGACCTTGGACTTATGCTGATGTAAAGTCATATTACCTGTGTATATGTGTAAATAGAAAGCAAGGAAGAAGATGTGCTTGGATAAAACTGCATTATGAAGACCTTCACCGTTCTTGCGTTCACAAAAATATCAGCAATGTGCCCAGGTCAAAGAAGATTACATGTCTGTAGTATGTAGCACATATGAAAAGGATAAAAATTGCTTACAAAATTCTATTCGGAAAATTTGAAAAGGAGAGACAACTTTGGAGAAATAGAGTAGATGGGAGGATAATGTATTCCGGTGTTCAGTGGATTCATCAGGCTTAGGTCATAGTCCAGCGGAGGACTGATGTGAAAACAGCACTACATTTAGGGTTCCATGAAAGATGAATTTAGTCTATAGATGATGGACTGTCAGCTTGTCGCGTAGTGCATTGCTGCATGGAGTTATAGTGTTGCGAAAGCAGTTTACCTTGTTTTCTTTTCCGTACTTATTTTCGTCTTTGAACTATTTGCGGTTAAAGAGCGAGATAAGCCAAGAAATGTTGAGGAGAAATAAGTCTTCATGTACAGATGATTCTCACGAACTGTCCTGACGAGACTGGGAGTAGCTGGTGCCCAAACAGCGCCACGCTCTTCATACTGATCCAGTAGGTCGCAAAGAGGAACAAGGCTGGAAAGTGCAGTCCGTGTTGAAGTAGCCTTCTTTGCTAATTCGTATCATGAATACTCGCAAAGGTTACTGGGAAGACCAAGACGTAGGTGGGCGGACAATATTAAAATGGATCTTAGAGAGATAGGATAGAATGGTATGGATTGGATTGATCTGGTTCAGGATAGGGACCAGTGGAGGGCTCTTGTGAATACGGTAATGAACCTTCGGTTTCCATAAAATACTGGGAAATTTTTTAGTAGCTGCGGAATTGGCGGCTCCTCAAGAAGGACTCAGCTCCATGGGCGAGTAAGTAAATGTTTAGTGCCCTCACATCAGAACTTCGTGCGACCATTAAATTACCGTTGCCATTTGTAGGATGTTAAGAAATGCGACCTGGTGCGGCCTCGAGTGGCATAATGTTCATATCAGGTTTCGTTATGTAGGATTTGAGGCTCTCACACCGATGGTTATGAAGATCTCTGTCTTCTTGCATGTAGCGCTAGTAGTCCATTGAAGGTCAACTGACGTCATGTAGGAAAATGTGGCTTCCATCTTCAGGGTTGAAGAGTAAGCCAAGCAAGAAACGAGCATGATGCAGGCAGGAAGCAATGGCATTGTCATGTGTATAAGCGTGACTGTAGACGGGGTTTAGATTGGTAATCGGATTTATTGAACTCCTATAGATCCGTGACTACACAAGTTATTATAACGGTTTCACTAATTCACACACTTCACAGTTCACTAGAGCACACACTTTAGTCTTCTCAGCCTGTTGTGTCTTCGCCAGTCTTCTGGTAACGGCTTCCAACAGCGGACGTTCCCTTAGTCTTCTCAGCCTGTTGTGTCTTCACCAGTCTCCTGGTAACAGCTTCCAACAGCGGACGTTCCCCTTCCTCTGGGTTCCCGAACTGTCCCCGCCCTCATCTACAGCAACTCTCCACTAACTCAGTCACTCACCAACTAACTAACCAACAACCCTCACTAACTATTGTTTATATCGTCTCGATACGGACCGCACAGAAAATACCGTTCCTGTCCTGTTGTGCAATTCTTGCCGTGGAAACATGTTTGTTTGCGAAGCCATTACTTGGTAACGGCTGTCTCTGCTGGCTTCACAGTTCTTACCTTGAACAAATATGGCACGGTAACAAAGAAAGGGTCGATGTCGGAATTTCAAATTAGGAGATTGTTTCTTGTTTTTTTTTTTGAATGACATCATATCAAATTGCAGCCCCGATTTACTCTTCGCAATTAGAATTTCTTGACATAGCAACGTTAAATAATGTTGCAGCACTGATCAACTATCTTTCTTATCACATATATGTGTAGAATTGTAACTTGTACTTGGGAGATACCTGTTCGAATCTCGGCCCAGCCACCACCAATTTCTACTAAGGGTTTTCACAGTTTCCACAGCCCCTCTGAGTAAATGCAGAGATACTGCATTAAAGTAGGTCATGACGCCCCTTCAATATCTTTTTTTATTCTGTTGTTCATTTCGATGCTCCGTAATTTGAGATACTTACGGCCTTTTAACCATTTAAATCTCAGTGGTCACTATATGTACCACCTGTCTTAACATACTATAACTCTGCATTCTGGCGACACAGTGTATCTGTGTACTGTATATGTTCGTCACAATAAACAGCGATTTCTCTGTGTCCGATCTGCTGTATTTATCTACCCATTGTACATTCGTTTTAATCATGTCTACCTAGTACGACAAGGGGCACGCGGGAGCGTAGTTGGTTGAGACACTATGCTACAAGCCAGAATCCGATGAGGTGGATTTTTTCAATTTTCCTAATCCTTCCAGCCGCACTATGGCCCTGGGTTGACTCAGCCTCTAACAGAAATGAGTACCAGGAATATTCTTTGGGGCAAAAGGCGGCCGGCGCGTAAGGCTGTAAACGTTACCGCCATCTGTGAGCCGATTGTGTAGAGAAAATATGGGAACCTCAACATCTCACAACCTTATGGGCTTCCACGGCCTGTTACAGGGATACCTTTACTTTACTTTTTTACTTGCCTAATAAGGCATGGAAGAAATCCCAACCAGTCCTTACCCAACCTTGACGAGTATAACCTCAACCTCACTACTTTCGTGATTACCACAGTGTTGCTGTTCATGACCTCTGTGTCCTCGACCTCCTCCAGGACTTTTGCACCATATGACGAAATAGAAGTATGGAACTTTGATTGATGTTTGTAGCGAGTTTCGACGCTTCTATTAGTTTTATTTCGAACTGAAACAATGACAGACTCACACAGTCTCCCTTCTTCGGTCCTGACAATCGGGAATAATTTAACGTAATCGCCAGCAATAGAAAGGTGATTATAAAAGAAACTGAATGAAAAATCTGCTTGTATATCGAGACAAGGCGAATGGTTGTGTGGAAATAAACAGAACATGTTGCTATGCGACGGCACCATTCTGCTGCGTCATGTAAATTGGTGACGTAGATCGCTGCGTCATTATTAAGAAGATAATAGGTTCTGTTTTCAACATATTAATGAATTTCATAGCGTACTCGGGACCGCCTCTGTGGTCCAGTGGTCAGAGTTCCTGGTTACAAATCTAGAGATCCTGTGTTCGATTCCCGGCGCTGCTTTTCTGAGAAGTAGTAGGTCTGAAACGGGGTCCACTCAACCTCGTGAGAAAAATTCGGGAGTTACTTGAATGGAAAAATAGCGGCTCCGTTCTAGAAAACCGAGATTAACGGCCGTGGGGATCTGTTTCCCTGACCACGTGACACCCTCTATCCGGAAATCTTGGCATTAACTTCTCTGACAAGCGGCGGTCGCTTGGTCGATTTAATTCGCTTGCGGATTACAGGCCACAGAGGAACCGAGGAAATCCACAGAAAACATCATTTACAGTACTGGTTTTTCCTGGACGAGATTCGAAACGACATTTCCAGAATACAGGTTAGAAGCGAAACCTCTTGAACCAGCTTGCTTGTGTTTACTTTTCTATTGCTAGTTGGGTGGCACTAAGTCCCTTGTACTGCGGCCACTTCTGGCCTACTGTACCAGCCCCAGATGATAGGTGAGGATTATTGTGGAGCAATTGGTGGAATGAAGATTGGCAGGGGAAACCGAAGTACTCGGAGAAAACCTGCCCCAGGGCCACTTCGTCCACCACTAATCCCACTTGACCAGACCCGGGATCGAACCCGGGCCGCCGCGGTGGGAAGCTTGAGCTATGGTGCGGCCCTCTGCGTTTATGTTACAGAACCATTTACGTTTGTAAAAAATCGTTGAACAAGCCAGGAAACAGAGGAAGGAAAGGTTTAGGCATCCCCGTAGAGCAGAAACCCACGTATCTGTAAGACTAGAAACACACACAGCGACATCGGTCGTACGGAAAAATGCAGGTTTTTTTTTTTTTTGCCGTACGACCTCCTTTTCAGACTAGAGCGACCAAATACATTTCTTTGCTCTCCGACTGTCGTACGGTGGATGTCTCATGTCGTCACCTATGAAAGCTAGGACTACACTTTATATTCTACTACTTGATGCTACATGAACCGTACGGACGTCGTACGGCCGATGTCGCTGTGTGTGTTCCTAGCTTAACACGTAAAGACGTAGTATAAGACTATCAGGAAGTAATAATAATGCATTATGTGTAACTTCATGCCCACGAATGACACGCACAAATAGTTGTGAACCATACCCACATCAAAATAAAAATATGTCCGAAAAATAATTGTAGGATTTCGAGAAACACAATTTAGAAAAATAAGAAACGTAGTCGAGAAAATAATATCTGATTTTAAAGTGTACCTGAAGTGGTTTTGAACATAATCAGTAAGTCCCTACACGTGTGCTGTTCGTGTCCAATAGATACTCCACTCCTTGACATACACCCTGTATGTTGTTTTCTCGGCGGCTTCTCCTGTTTTTGCTTCCAGACGATTCACATCTCGAATTTTGTCCATGTAAACGTAATTATTTACATAGCCCCAAGAAAGAATCAAGCGGTTTAAATCAGGAGGCAGAGTATACCGACACCCTATCATTACTTTTCGGACACGGGGTGTAATACTCACTGAATACACCCAATACGACGAAAGAAATGACTGCTCGCTCGTTTGTAACCCATTACCTAAGTTATGTTTCATGCAATTATTGGACATTTGGTTGCTACGGTAACCGGAATTTGAATAGTTTTTTATATTTCATCTCACCGTTACAGTACGTTCTATATATACCAGTATATACTGATATTAATGTAACTAATACACGTCAGTGTCATAGAAAATCTAATATTGCAATTTGTTTTCTTGACAGTAGTCATGCCTGTCGAAGTGGAAATTGATCAGACTCTGGCCTTGTCGGAAAGACGGAGTCACTTTCAGTCACAGCAGTCAACAGTTGCAAGCCGTCGGCAACAGGCAGTGTGTGTACGGCGTGCGTACAAGCATTACGGCACCAAGAAGATGCGGCACATCGTACTGGAAGGTCTCAACATGACCGTCTCCAAAGGAGCCATGTGAGTTCCTACTTGCAGGGGACACCATCATTCCTATGGTTCCCATGACTAAACACCGTCGCCATAATTGCATTCGTAGCATGCTTTTAAACAACTCGAACACACTACGAACTAAGCTGTGTTAAAATGAATATGGACCTACATCGCGCCATGATCTCCTGCCATGGCTACTATAAAATATGCAACGGTTACGTATCCATTGTCTTCACGGTCCCAATGCTTATCTTACGGAGTCGATAATGGGGGAAGAAAGTTAATTACACGTTTTCCATGGGGTTTGACATATCCCATGTGATTATGAGGCCATAGCTTACTTAAGATTTCGTCACTTGGGCCAGTTCTTCATGGAACAAAGTGACTTTTATGATACCCCATAAATAAAGATCTACATTTCATTCGAAGTGTAGGATTAATAAAGGGTTAATCCAAAGGGGAAGCACAATAGAACATTGAAGGTCGCAGTACGAGGGCCGCAATTTATGGCCCACCCCTTACACACATTCTTACATACGTACATAGGGGTTGTCCTTTGGCCTTTACTAATTTTTCCTGCGACGTACCGTTTGCTAGAACCAGGGTGGTACAAACGGACGGAGGGACGTTTAGTTATTACGTATTTGTAACGAAATGTATTCCCGCGGCAACACGGGATTCGTTGCATAGCAGCGGGCTAAACGAAATCCTTCGACAAGGTGTTCCCTAGTCAGCCCTAGTGCAGGATATAACAGATCGTATCCGACAAGAGTCCAGTAGAGGTCGTATCCGAAGAGAGCTGAGGGCAGTTGAGCTCCGGGCAGAAGACACTTTACCGAGATTAGCGGTGCGAGAGAGTTGTAACACTGAAGATGATCCGCGCCATAGCTCAAGCGGTTAGTCGCTGGCTTGCCACAGCGGCGGCCCGGGTTCGATCCCGGGTCTGGCCAAGTGGGATTTGTGTTGGACACAATGGCGCTGGGGCAGGTTTTCTCCGAGTACTTCGGTTTCCCCTGCCAATCGTCATTCCACCAATTTCTCCACAATCACCCTCACGTATCATCTAGGGCTGGTACAATAGGCCAGAAGTGGCCGCAGTACAAGGGACTTAGTCCCACCCCACCAGCATTAAACAAAACACTGAAGTAGAAGCGTCCGATACCCACACAATATCTTGTCGCGTTGCCTAGGAAACACGCGACAGTATGAACAGATAATAGCGACAAAATGCAGTAAAATCTAGCTACTTCGGACTTAGTAGACGAAGGGATGGTCGGAATTAGTAAAGATTTTGGAATTATAGAATATAATTATATACAAATGTTTTCAAGTCTTGATTCTGTTTAAAAGCAGAAAAGTGTTATATTTTCAGTAAAGATTAGATAATGTATGCGTCTTTTGTTACTTATGTAAGCCGGCAGGAAGTGTGAAATTATATTATTCTGTATAGAAAGGATTTCAGTTCTATGCAAATAAGAAACACAGCTCTAATTACAGATGTTCCGAATTAGTGAGCTTTTACTATACTGGAACATAAATTATTTTGAAAAGTACATGGTAGAGTTAAAATTGCCCTTGTGCTTAATTAATTGAACATCACGCCATGAAGATGTACGGACAGGTGGAGATATAACTCGCCACTGGATGGAGTGGTGAGCTTCACGCTCTGGCCGCTTGACTCTCGGCCCCAATTAGATAGGTGATTCTGTGATTCTAAGAGCCTGTATGGACACTGGACGATAGAGAAATCTCTTTACACTGCCGGGAATCGAACCCAGGCTGTCCAGCCCGTAGCTCGTCTCTGTGCCGATTGCGGAATCCAGGCTCCTTGAAGTACGCAGTAACACAGAGACTATCGGGACCGCAGGAATTTAACGAAGAAACGGCAGAACAAGCTCCTTAACTGACAGAGATTCTGGCCAAACAAGTTTTAGCGAGTTGCTCTGTGTCGCAATATCTGCGCATTCTGTAGGTCAGTTCAGGATTAAGCAATTCTGATGTGTTTATCATACCTACTGTAGATGGGGGCACTCCCTTGAAAACTCTCAGAAAAAAACAAATTCCGTGACCTGTAGTCTGCAAGCGAACTATACTGACTGAGCGACCGCATCTTGTCAGCGAAGTTAATGCCAACTTCTGCAGATAGAGGGTGTCACGTGGTCTGCGCAACGGATCCCCACGGCCTTTAATCTCGGTTTTCTAGACCGGAGCCGCTATTTCCTTAAAATAGTTCCTCAATTATCCTCACGAGGTTCAGTGGACCCCGTTCCAGACCCACTACTTCTCAGAATATATGTCAGCGCCGGGAATTGAATCCGGAACCTCTGGATCTGTAGGCAGGAACTCTGACCACTAGACCACAGAGGCGGTCAGAACACTCACTGTACGTATCTATAATAAAGAAGAGATGCATCCCACATGAAAGAAACCATCATTTTAGTGTAACCTGAAGGGCACATGTACCCATTTATTTTGAACCTGTATTTACACAGATAGGGTTATATCAGTGTTCCTAGGTCACCTTTCTGACTTCACTGTATACTCATTTACACTGCCACTTTCAAGCTATCTTCCTTTCATGCATGTAATCCATAATTGCTTCCTTTGCTATCTTCTTAAGCCTTATTTCAAAACATGGAATTTGTGACCACGTGGAAGTATTCAAAGTACAACGCAACGAATGCGAATGAATTTGACCTTGGAAAAGTGAAAATGGCATGAAAAAGATAATATTAGCCAAGGTTTCATGCGTTATTCATTGTATATTCTGTTGCACACATATTGACAGACATATCTAAAGAATTCTGCTTGTCCCGTGTGGCCATGGTTAGTTGGTTGTCTTTAAGTGACGTATAATGCTGTAGAGAGCAGAAGAAAAATAATGTGACGCTTATTTATGCTAAATGCAATGAAAGGTCAAAAAATCTAAAGCTGTCCCTGTGCTTAATCAATTAAGTACCATGCCATGAAGACATGTGGGGGAGTGGAGGTATAGCTCCACCTTCCTTGATTTCCCTACCAGATGGAGGTGAATGGTACCCATTGGATAAGACAGTGGGCGAGCCCCAGTGACAACCTGGATGCTGCTGAGAGAGAAAAATATCTTGCTTTTGTCAGGAATTGAACCGCAATGATCCAGCCTGTAGCCTGTCGCTATACAAAGTGACCTATCCTGGCTCTTTAGGAATACATCTCTTCCTGTTCTGACTGATTTCAGATATGGTTTGCTTGGTGCTAGTGGCTGTGGGAAGACAACACTTCTCAGTTGTATTGTTGGTCGGAGAAAACTCAACTCTGGTGATATCTGGGTGCTGGGTGGCAAACCAGGTTCTAAGGGCAGTGGCGTGCCTGGCCCCAGAATAGGATACATGCCACAGGTATGTTCATACATCCACAAAACGTAAGTACTCTGAGGATATTGCTTCCAAGTGGCTCTTTGTGTGAAACATGAAATCTGATCTATGTGAACCTTATTATTCAAAATTCATCTCAGTTTATATACTCCTTCTGTTAACAGATGACTGCAGTCTGATTTTTAACCCGCTCACTGCTTTTCTCTAGAAACATACTTGCTTATTCCCTATAGGTGAGTTAACATATTCTGTTGGCGAATATAAAATTATTTGTATGAAGTATGCGGTGAGCCTGTTAGTTGGTTTCTTTTAAATAGCTAGTGGATTCGAATTATATTTCTGGAGTCGTGGCTGAAGATATAACACTAAAATAAAGCATTGAAATAGTTTTCAAAAGACTACTTTGGATGTCTATAATACATCCATTTTCTTTCTCATACTCCCCTTGTAGATTTCAACTGTTCAGCAACTACTGGACAAGACCTAACAGAATTCCTCATTGTGCCAAGACATAAAAAAAAAACCTTAATGTGTACCTGAACTTGATGAATTACTGTACTATCAATTTTGAAGCCATGATATAAGTACTACAAGATGATGTAATATTTTATTGAAGGTGTATTATATTTTGGAATGTCAAATTATTACTTTCAGTCTAAATACCTTTAAATAAATATTATATGTTAATTGCAATAATTTTCACAAGTTAATTCATGCAGTGCAAGTTATGTCTGTCTATATATCTTACACAAATTTTGTCTCAAAACTTATTTATATTGGTGAAATTGTAAACAAAGTTTCATTAAAAATGGAAGTAAGTGTGTGAAGGGATATATCAGTTCAATGGAATGCTGAAATACAATATTATTGGATGTTTGCACTGTAATTTGTAATGCAGATTTAATGTTGGCTAATATCTGCCACAAATAATTCAATCTTAATACGCAGCTCGAATATCAGTTTGATGCTACTGCTCTCTATTTTAAACATTTTTCTTATGGAGAATATTTAAAGAACTAAAAGGAAAAATATTTTCAGAATCTGTATAGTATGATGATTGTAGTGCCATCATTTCTGTACCAAAAGATTTATGTGTGCACTGAATTAATGCAGGATTGCAAAGAATGCATTTGGATAATTTGTGTATTTCAAACTTGTTTTAATTTTTATACTAATGTTCATTACTATTACACAGGAGTTATCTTTATATGTTGAGTTCACCATACGAGAAACATTCTTGTACTTTGGATGGGTCAATGGAATGACGACTGAAGAAATTGATGAAAAGATACATTTCTTGCTGAAATTCCTTCAACTTCCATCAGCAAATCGTTTCGTCAAGACTCTTAGGTTAGAACCAAGTGTTGTATGCCAAGAGTACAGTATTTATGCCTTTGTACCATGACAAAATTAGCAATAATTTTGTTCTTTCTTACGCTTTCATATTCTTTTATGTTTAAGGCTGTTTTACCACAATGTCTGGATAAAATTTGAAATGAGAAAGCAATATTTAATAAGAACAGTAATAGGCAATATGTTGTTGTGCTCCATGCTTCAGCTTATGCCATTGCTATGCTAATTGTTCTGATCCACCATTCAGGAGAGTTACCCCTTTAAGTTGAGATAAAGAGGAAGGGTTAAAGAATAAGAAAATGTTACAAAGAAATGGGACAAGTAGTTAATGATTGTGTAAGAATGTGATTGTAGAGATTGTAGAGACATAAAAGCATAAACCATTTTCATTTTTCACTGATGACAGTAATAATAACAATTTTTTCTAAAATGAATAATTATGTATATCTTTAGCTTTTTGAAGCACAAATTTCTTCTGATTAGTTAAATACGTACTCAATTGCTACTTCACAGGATACTTGTCATGTCTCCAATATGAAGACCAACATTGCCATGTTGTTCATATCAAGTTGTTTAATTCAAAATTCATTAGATGGGGACAAACACGAGAACCTAGTACTATCCAGAACTTTCTTCATATAGTAAAGAACACAGCCTAACATGTCAGAAAGATTTTGTGGTCAAGAGAAAAAATCCAGAAGGGACATTTCAGTTTGAATTGAATTTGAATTGATTTTTGTTCTGTTAATCCAAGCATAGGTTGACACCATAGGATATGGATAAATTCAAGTACAGATACATATTATCTGTACAATAATAGTTTTGCTTGAAACGCTTATATGATTATAATAGAGTATTAATATTACCGTGCTAATTGGATACATACAGCACAGTCTGCAAAAAAAGCAAAATGATGCAGTAACATGCTTGGGAATACTCAATACCAGTTACTGTTTAGTTTCATTGAAATATTCTTCTGTGGAGCAGAAGGTGAAAGTAAGTAACGTTTCAATGCTGCTTTAAGTTGCTTAATATTAATATTTACTGTTTTGAGACTTTGAGGGAGGATATTTAACACTTTGATACCGAAGGAGTGGACTCCTTTTTGATATAGAGATAGATTTGCTGAATATTGGTGGTAGTTGAGTTAAGTGTCAAGCTTCCTTATGGATATAGAAATCAGACTTTGTGTTTGAGACAACTGGGTTTCTGGACTTTGTCCATGTTCTTGTATCCCAAAGAGAACCCAGAAAACTGGATCAGTTCGGAATGCTAGATGATGGATAAAGCCCAGCAATCCAATAGTTTCGACAGAATCCTATATGTTTCGTGTTTTGTCTCAGTGGAGGACAACAGAGGCGAGTCTCCCTTGCAGCAGCCCTGGTGCACAGTCCTGAACTACTCATCCTCGATGAGCCAACAGTTGGTGTGGACCCAGTGCTCAGGCAGAAGTGAGTCGAGCTGAATATAAGTACACTATGTATGCAGAGCAACATTCTGAGATATTAAAGTGATATGTTCCTATTTTGATCCACCTGGGGCAACCTATGCCCTATTTAGTCAGAATCAGGGGCCCGAAGTGTGTTTTATATTTGTTTTTATTAGATTGTTTTGAAGATCTTTTATTCATAACATTAATTTTGAAAATATTATTTTGTAGTTTTGTGGAGTAGCTGTAGTGTTTTCTATTTTGTGCTCAGCAGCTTCTCCTTACTTCATAAGGATTTACTGTTTGCAGTCAGCTCGACACGGTACGTTGCCATGGGTAGCTGTCTCCAACATGCTGCACACAGACTTAGGCAGAACTGTATAGCTCATGTTGTATCACATTCTCTTTGTTTTGTCCAGCATCTGGGAATACCTGATAGATTTATCAAAGACTAAGAAGACAACAATCATCATCACTACCCATTATATTGATGAGACCCGGCAGGCTAATATGGTAAGCACAGGTTATGCAGTTTCACATTCAGAAAACTGACGTTTTGTTTCTTTGCCAAACATACGGGACAGTAATATCAGTTCTGTCCTAAATAATGGAAAAACTGGAAAAACTTGGGGGGTTATATCTTTTACAGTTTTGAATGTCATATTATTGTTAGTGTATAATTTTCATGTTGGTACAAAATAAAATTGGGAGTATCAATATTATTGGTAATGGTTTATGCTAACCGTCTTACAGTGTATACACTTTTCCACCTTATTCTGCACTTCTACACTACATGTTTCAGCACTAATGTGCCATCCTCAGGTGTCTTTATGCACGTTAAACTACTGTACTGCATGCCATGATGTCTTCATTCTACAATCACTAAAATCTGTATTCGTCATATATGTCGATGAATTCTAAATAATAAAACTTTTCAGGATTCATCCTACATCGCACTCAAACATGCGAATTACGCCAATCCTCTATTATGTGAGCATTCTTCCTACATACATTTGTGTATCGTGTTCTGTGTTGTGTTTTGCTCCTGTTACTGCATGCGTACAATGCACTGAATCATGGGGATAATTAATATCTAGTAGAAATGACACAACCAGAGAGGGATTAGAAGTTGACTGATGCCTGAGTAAATTAGAAATGGATTAGTTGCAGTGGTGTGGATATATTAAATGGGATATAAGAAGGATACTCAAAAGAGTTTTTAGAATTACAGGTGAGTGTCAGAAGGTCCAAATTATGACTAAAGTTGAGATGATTTACACAGTCAAATGGTAGCAACAAAAATAGAGGAAAAACATGGGTTTAAATAGACAAGGAAAACATATTTGTATGATTTTCATTCATCAAGCAACCTACTGATGGAAACAATGCCAGTTCAGGAGGAGAAAGGCTTGCACAGTACAGAAATGGACTCTGGTCTGTTCTTATACCTCAGATACTCTGAGCTCTTCTCTACAATGTTACTCTTGTTGAAGTAGGATCAGTGCTGATTTATGCAATCACAGATTGGATTGATGAGGGGTGGCAAATTCCTTGCTGAGCAGCCTCCGGAGGACCTGTTGGCAGCTCACATGTGTGACACACTTGAAGATGTATTCCTCAAACTAAGCAAGTTGCAAAACCAGGGCAAGCGCCGTCGTAGCAGCTACATGCTGGAAGTAATGGGGCCACCAACACCAGAAGAGGTTAGTGTACTTTGATATAGTACAATGGCAGCTGCAATATCTCACAAATAATTTTGTATACACTTAGATCTCAGAAGTGAATATATTTCTAGCAGTCCAAGTGTTTTTGTGTCCTGTTCAGATGTCTAAGCTTTCATGGTGGTGATAAGCTGAAACTCAAAAATAATCATGAAATCTCAATGTCCAAGATTGCCTTAAGAAGAAATACTTATGCAGTCTATAAAATGAATGCACAACCAGGGGTTTGCTCTGTTTCTTTATCTGCGCTTTTGTGTTTCACACTCCAAGTTTCAGATGAATTCCAGTGGTCTGCATGAGTTTACAGTGACTCTTGCTTTTCATTAAATTTATTCTCATCACAATTTCTCAACTGTGACTCAAAGTACACAAAATATAAATTTTATTAATATCTACAACATTTATTTAAAACTTTTGTATATGTTGATTTTTTAACAAAATACTAGGAATAATAGTAATGTATAGGTTTCTTTGCAGTGTAGGAGGTGTACTGTTAATTAACCCTAACACCAATTCAAAGATATTTTAAGTAAATAAATATGAAGACCAATGACAGATACAAAGCTGCAAAGAAAACACTTGGAAAATATGTGTATGTTCAAAATTAATTAATTTTTATCCACTATCATTCACCAGAAACATCTATCTGCTTGCTGCATCTGGAACTTTTTGATTCTTAAGTTTGATTTTTTTTAAGATAGATGAAACCATTACTTATATTCATGTGATAAGCTCTATTTTTGGAACTACATTTTAATAAATGACATTGTTTTGAGTGCTGTAATTAGTGTGAAGATTTAAAAGTTGTTCTATAATATATTAAATTTTATTAAAATAATCTTACTGGGTGTTTCCTTCTCAAACCATGTAGATATTTTTATCTTAGTTCTTTGTCCTTATGTAGGGACCATCAGCATTTGATACAACTTCAGAAATCAGTGGTGAATATGGAGACAACATAAGTCTCTCCAGCAAAGATGTGAATCCGGTGACCAGCGTAAGTTGTTGTACTCTTTTCTTCATTACGTCTGCAGAAACTGTTTGCTGTCCGGCAACAGAGTTGCACCATTTTGCTGTTGTAATGAAGCTTCATCATCAACTTGTGTTTAATTGCTACAGTACTACCACTGCTGGGTGTTGGAAAAATTGCAGATCATCTTACTTAACTTAACATGTTCAGCTAATTTATCATCATTTAACACCTTTTTCTTGGTGTCATAACAACGTTTTTCATGCTGATAAAGATCATATATTTTATCCCTACTGTTTGAAACAAGAGATGAATTCTAGCAGCAGATCTGTAAACTAGTTTCTGTTCAAAACTCACACTGTCATTTACTACATTCTGTTATTGTTCCAAGAACTATTGGCATGTCTTCGACGTGCTGTACTAACACTGATAACATGCAGCTTGGCATTTTCTGTGTGCGATTCATTGTCATTATTTAAAGGAGATGTGATGCTTGCCTAACCAGTAACATGAGCAGTAACAATTTCAATTATCTCTACTACTTCAAGCATTGTTTCCATCTTATACAGGTTGATAGATGAAAAGACAATGGTCTCTCTTTTCTTCCCATGAACTTTCCTTTTCAGTTTCATGCAGCTCTTTCCATTTTGGTTGAGTCTTAATTCGTATTTGTCAAATTGCAATTTAAGTCAAGTATGTTAGTTTAACAGTTGGTTCTTGGGCTACTTAATCATGCTGTACCAACAGCAGTATTTAGATTGTGGTCTTCTGGGTCCTGACACCATACAGTCTAGTAGGTGGTTACCAGTATTTTACTGCTGCTAATTACAAATGTACAGTAATCTATCTGGGCCCTTGGACCCCCTCATCAATATTTGATTCCTAACCAGAATGTGTGAAAATATGACAAAGTTGTACTGGACTTGTTCTCATCAGATTCTTCAACCTTTAGTGTGATTTCACATAATCTACATAATCAGAAATTTCATGCTTAATAATATTAATATTAAGGAATATCATGGTAAAATAATTTAACAACTCATTCATTAATTAACCAAATAACAAACTGTGCGCAATTGTAGAATAAAGTTTGTCGCTGTAATAAGTAAAATCCAGTAATAGACCTGCCCTGTATCAATTAAATCCAATCTTCACCATTTTGAAATGTCCNTATTGTAGCCTGCCCCGGGTGATTATGATGATAGTGAATCTGGTAGAATGAAGATTGGCAGGGGAAACCGAAGTACTCAGAGAAATGCCGCCCAACCGCCACTTTGTCCACCACAAATCCCACTTGACCAGACCCGGGATCGAACCCGGGCCGCCGTGGTGGGAAGCCACCGACTAACCGCTTGAGCTATGGCGCAGCCTTGAAATGTCAGTCATACTTTTTAATATTATTACGTTTATTACTACTTGTTTCATAAGTAAAGAATTTGTAAGAAAATCAGCATCTGCTAAATAATAAAAATAGACTTGTGGCAGAAATGTGTTTGATCAAATAATCTAAAATTGTAGCATTCGAAGACATATGAAATTATAGAAGAGAGTTGTGGAAGAAAAGAGTCTTGCTTATTTTATGGCAGCTGTACATTTCTCGGCCCTGTGCTTAATTCAGAACCACACAATGAACATATGGAGTAGATATATAGATCCATAAATTCTTAATCTTGGCCCTAAAGAGTCAGTGGCCAGCTTTCTAGCCCAGCCGCTTAACTGCTGGGGAAACAGCTCCTGGTACCCATTGAATAGAAGGCTGGGTGGGCACCAGGGCTAATCTGGTTGGCATTGAAGAAAGAAAAAATCTTTAACCTTATGGGGAATCAAACTCAAATTCTCCAGTTGGCCAGTCTGTAGCCTGTTACTATATTATGACATGATGGCTCGATAAACACTTATCTGTGGCAACAGATATGAGTGCAACAATGTAAGATACTGTTGGGAGAAATGTTTCCTATGTGGTCCATGCTGAGGCTATATAATGAGGACCAGCTGCCATCATGAGTGAGTTACATCTATGAGTTAGTCGCAAGCCACCTGCCGTCTAGTGAGGACGTGAGCACCGAAGCAGAAGAACCTTCAAGTAATGCCTCATGAAGACTTAGAAGCCTTAATGTTTGGAGCAGTGATTTGTATCATGTGTAGATTTGTGAAACTGTTGTAGTTACTTGTAGTTGCGAGCTATAAATATCCAATGACTCCAGTTACCAATCTGAACCCCATGTCTGGTTACTGACACAGACAATTTTAATTGAGCTATTTCAGCTCCTGAGTGATGTGATTCAAATGCACATTGACACTTGATCTATCATATTCTTTATCGTCAAGTGAACATCATATTATATTCATGCCACATGCATCCTTACACTGCAAACGTCTTTCTTCATAATGTTATATTTTAGCGTCCTGTTGCACTGATTTAAGTCCATGATTTATTTCAACCATCTTCCAGTGCATACATTCATCTATCTCCTCCTCTCTCTCGCACTACATGTTTCGGCACAAAAGTGCCATCTTCAGGTGCTTATTCAATTTACGCTAAACTAGTTCATTGCATGCCTTGTCGTCTTCATATTAAAATAACTAAAATATATATTTATAGTGAAAGATAGTGCTCCGACAGAAGAGGATAGGCGTGACTCGCGTAGTGAGATACGACGGAGGGATGAAATATCCTGAACAATTTTAATATTTTTAACATTTATCAATATATATGATAAATATATATTTTAGTTACTTTAATATGAAGACGACAAGGCATGCAATGAACTAGTTTAGCGTAAATCAAATAAGCACCTGAAGATGGCACTTTTGTGCCGAAACATGTAGTGCGAGAGAGAGGAGGAGATAGATGAGTGTATGCACTGGAAGACGGTTGAAATAAATCATGGTCTTTCTTCATGCTAGAAAGAATGTTATTCTAGCAGTTATGCATTCTACAGGTATGGTTGGAATAAATTTCATATTATTAAGTTACTTTTATGTTTTCAGTCTTGTTTCTTGTTGAATATCCATAAGACAGTCTTCAGAATACATGTATAAATCTAAGTACTCTTGGTTCCTGGATAAAGTGAAGATATTCAAATACACAGAAACAATTCTCATGGTATGGCCAGAATTCATGAAGCATATTCATATTGATGTATAAATATTAAACCAATATGAGCTATGGGTAATGAAAAATAATTCTCTGTGTGTCTATATATATGCTGTAGCATTTCAGTTGTAAGTATGTCTAGAACATGAGTCACAAATGTTGGTGAAGTATTTATGATAATTATGTGACAGTACATATAAGGTACTTTGCAGATAACTTTACAGAAACTGAGTAGGTTAATACAGCAATAATATTTCAAACTTTTATTTAGGAGGTAGCCAGTTCAAATCTCAACCACAATAGACTACCCTAGTTAATATTTACTTCAGGTTTTCTTGTGGGACAGTACCTTCAAGTATAACATGACTGACTCGTTCAAAGTCCTTATCTACCCTCCATTCATGACCAAAGTGGACGCTGTGTAATCTTTGTAGATTAACATGTCATCATGAAATAACATAATAACAAATCAATCAGTAGTGCAGAAATTTTGTTATATAGATGGAAGGATGATACTTAAATCACTGTTGAAGAAATTGGTTGGGAGAATGTGGACTAGATCTATTTGGTTCAGGAAGGGACTAGTGGCAGGCTCTTGTGAATGTGTCAGTGAATCTTCATGTGTCTTACAGGACAGGCACGTTCTTGTTTATTTTACAGGCTGTTAGTTTTTCAAGAAGAATTCTGCCCATGGGGGAAATGGAAACTTATTGTCCGACAGAAAAAATGCTGTAGAAATTACAGTATTCATATGTTGTCTTGTAGGTTGTAACACTGTGTAGTCTTGTATATAATTACTGAAGTTTTGGAGGAACATGCCACTTCCATTATCAGGGTCAAAGAATAATCCAAGGAAATAACTAGCGAGAACCATACCCAGAAGTGAAATGGTGAACTTATACTGACTACATGACTTGATTTCTTGGAAGATAGTACTCTTCATTTTTGGCACTATGAGAACTTCAGTTCCAGCAAACCACCACTTGCACACAGTACTGTGTCTGCAGATTGCTGTAACAGGATTTCCCACGGTTTGTCAGTGTACCTTCCAGTAGAGTCAATGGTACAAGGAAATATGAAACTATGCAAGATTTGAGGCTTTCACGGTGGTGACTATGAAGAAAGCAGTCTTCTGGGATTTGGCACCGTGTATATGTGGTGTTAACCGACGTTTCGGAGAAACGTATCGCCTCCATCTTCAGGGTAGAAGAAAAATATAAGAAATCTGCAAGCGAACAGACCGTGAGAACCAGTAAAAGCAGACTGCTTTACCGGTTCTCATGGTCTCGTCGCTTGCAGATTTCTTGTATTTTTCTTCTACCCTGAAGATGGAGGTGATACGTTCCTCTGAAACGTCGGTTAACACCACATATACATGGTGCCAAATCCCAGAAGACTGCTTTCTTCTAAATATGAAACTGTCTTACCCTGTGTGCTTCACAGACTGAACCAGATCTGCCTCCAGAGGAAGGGGGAAAATGGGGCCTGATGGATTATCTCAAGTTCCTATCCATACATAGAATGAAGGCTGTAATATGGAAGGACTTCTTGTGGATGTGGAGAAATGTTCCGTGAGTATGCCCTTTGCAAAAATTATACAGTGATCACCAGCATATGTTAAGCACAGGTTCTCAGTGCCATATAGGAGCATCTGAGAATTTCTTTGAACACGCGTGGTTGTTCATGAACCATTCACTGTAGCAATCAAGTTCCTTCCGTCAAATGTGACACTTTTTTAAGTTTTTCACCTCGTCACCACCTGCCTTACATGTTTCGGCTTAAAAAAATTCACTGTAGCTTTTATTTTGTGGGCTATTTAATTATGCTGTCAGTATCTAGAATAGAGAATCAAATTTTAGGATGAATGATAACTTGCAGAGTTTGAAAGGTACCAGTCATGGCCCAATCAGGGTACTATCCTGGAACATGCCTAGAGGGACTGAGGAAAACAACAAAATACCTAGTTAGGATAGCATGAGGCCAAGCTAAGATTTTAACTGAGCACCTCCAAAGTATTCAAGAGCATTACTGCTAGACTAACCCACTTAGTTACTGAGTCTTAATGATTACAATTTTATCAAGCTTATTTGAGCCTCTACCAATATAATTGGCTCCTTGTTCTTCAGTTTTATTGTCAACTAATGGTCAGCCATATTTTCAGATCATTAGTATGCAAACAGGATTGCAAAATATGTGACGTCGCTTCCATAATCTGAATGAGAAAGGAAAATCTCGATATATTCTCATATTTCTTGCATTGGTGTCTCACAGAATGAATCACTATGATCAGAACAGTACAGCTTGCATGTCTGAGCACTTTCACCTGAGAATGGATAATATGCTCATCAGTTTGAATACGCCCATAAACTTCTTTGCTCTCAGGCTGAAACACTTTAGCCTTCTTCCTTTTGATTCAGATTAGACTGTCTTTTTTCTTGATATCATAGATCCATTGTATTGTTGTGATCACAGCTCCGTCTAATGATCATTAAGCCTACTACTTATGTATGTGTTTATGCTCACAGAGTTGGGCAACCTAAGTTATGGGTTCACCCATAGATCATGAGTTACCACTTGGCTTATAGTGGTGAATTTTCATTGACCCTGCTGAAAGCAAAGAAAGTGCTAAGAAGTTAATCATGTTACATGGTTCTTAATCAAGTTCAAATTAATATCATTAAAACATAGCAATGAACAAATCGTTTCCTGGATACTAGAATGTACTGTGTCCATTAACACCAACTTTGGGAAACTGGGTTTGAATTTGGGGAATTGATTGCACTATTTCAGAATAAAACTCATTCTGAAACCTCACACTTGTAAATAATGTAAACCTGTGAAAGTGTATGGAGATAATGTGACACAATGCACAGATAAGCAAAAGTGTAGACAGAACACTGCATACCCAAGTAACAGTTTCACTGTGTGTTCATGGCTTTTTTCCAGAAACAGTTATCTTTGCCATAAGTTTTTTGAAGACTCAGACATGATTCTCATCATTGGGCTGCTATACTATAATATTTTGCACCTGAAGTGAAGCTTTGGTATCTGTGATTTAAATGCCCTGAAGTTATTGGTAAGAGAACCCAAGTCTCACTAAATTTTGTTATTTTTTAAATTAATATTCAGACTAATTTTTTGTATTTATTTTAGGATATTTACAATCTACTCATAATGTACTAATACAGAGTAATAAGCAGATGTTAAGAGCATTGCGTGGCTTGTAGGGAGCACCATCTGCTGATGGGTTATCCTCTGTTACCTAGAATAGATCTTCTGACCACTGGCGTTTGAGTCTAATTGACTGATTTTTACTGTTAGAATTTTATGGTGTAATAATTTGTAGACCCTGAGTAAAACTAGTTGTTGTATGAAGAAAGCTGTCTTCTGGGATGTGGCGCCATGTAGATATTGTGTTAACCAACGTTCCTCCAAAACGTCGGTTAACACAATATCTACATGGCGCCACATCCCAGAAGACAGCTTTCTTCATAGTCACCACTGTGAAAACCTCAAATCTTACATAGTTCTTGAATCTTTGATGTAAGTGCTCCAGACTGAACAAACATGTGACCCACACTTTCTTGTTTTTGTAGCGTGATGCTCTTCATCATAGGGCTCCCAGTGGTACAGATAATCCTGTTCTGCCTGACTATTGGCCGTGATCCTAAGAACCTGCACTTGGCCTATGTGAACGATGAGCTGAACTTCACAACAGACTGCATGCCTATAGAGGGATGCAGTTATGACCTCCTGAGCTGTCAGTACTTGGATTCTCTAAGGACAAGGACAATCATATTAGTGAGTGTTAGAAAATGATTGGGAGATGGAGTCATACAACGTTGATCTATGTAGAAGTCAAAGCAGTAAGCCATGCATGAATTTGCAGTTAAATGTGCAGAAATATTAGTGTGCTTTGTGGGTTTCTCTCAGTGTATTCTATGATAAAGTGCGGCCACTTGAAACTGCTTCATTCAGAAATTCTTCAAGTAGATAATCTGGTCATAGTCTTTCCTTTTGGATATTTCAGGACTTGCTTTTGGAGCTTATATTTCCTTTTATGGATGTGAAGAGACTAGTTATTTTTGTGTATAAAATTTCTACTTAGAGTTTAAATTTTGACTTCTTCTGAGTTAATTCTTTTCTTCTCAGGCTAAAATATTCAACTGTTTTATAGCAGTCAGTGAACATAATTACTAGGGCTATAATTTTATCATAGAAATACAAATTGTCTTTATTAATTGTGAAAATTAACAGATTACATGCAGTCAGAATATTTTCTATCTTATGAAGGAGATAAGACTGAATAAAAAATCAGTAAGGTCACAGTTCTGGATATTACAAACCCAGCGTTCAAACCATCATAACTTCAATGTACAACAGAGAAAATCTGTACAGCACTTACTTGAGCAACATTTTCATATGATAACAAAAATACAAATTTTAAACAGTTCTATAGAAGCAATCAGAAAGAACATGTTGGAAGAATATGCTCTTATGAGCTCACCAAAATAATTATGGAATACAGACTCAGAAGAAGTAGCCAATTAAAGAAACAATGAAAAATTAAATGTTCTACTTGGCAATATTTGTAACTGGCCAATTGGAACAAATTCTGGGAAGGATAGTGCTGGGGTCAGTGACCAAGTTTATTTTGCAAAACAGGATCGGTTTGAGTTTGAGGAAGAGTCCCTGGAGGCTGTGCAGAAAGGCAGAGCATGGGGGGCACTGTACTTCAGCTCCAACTACTCACACAGCCTCAAGGAGAGGCTAGAGGAAGCACGCTATGCTTCAGAGCTCATTGTCAATGACAGTAACGTGATTGTACAGATGGATATGTCCAGTGAGTAGACCGCCATCCATTTTATTCACATTCACAGATTTCAGCACATAGCTGCAGTACATATTTTACTGAATAAACATGAGGACAGATTTTTTAAGTATGTGTTTTTAGAACAAATATGGAAAAAATGTAGTCGCATACCAGACTCCTATATTAAAGAATCAGTATGATGCCTGCAGTAAATGCGCTGTGCTATCAGCTGCAGTATATTATATTTCAGAACTTCGCTCGTTGTAGAATATTAGTCTTTTTACACATATTTTTGCCTTGCTTTTGAAGAAGTTGTGTTTGGGTATGGTTTTTCTGAATTAGAGTTTACATGCAGATGTTATTCTAGGCCCAAATATACCAAGCATGTTCTTTTGTCTGCAATGTTTTGAGAATTCATTTATGCATTAAAACATCATTTGTTAAAGCATAAATTCCTGAAATTGGTTCATGTGTGTGACAGCATTATTCACATTACCCTGTCCAATAATCTGAAGGATTCAGTTGCTTCCCATCTGAAAGAAATCTTGGAGCCATTATTTCTATGATGGTAGCTGCAACTACTAATATTAGTATTAATGCTACTGAGGGCATGAAGAGAATGCTGCATGAATTGCTGCATTGTTTGCTAAAAGTTCTTGTAACCTGTGGATAAGAGCTGACTTACTGTGTCAGATCTGAGGTTCCCATACCGGTAACAATAAAGATTACTGCCTTCTAGTACATGATTCAATGTTGGCTGCTAGATTATTGCCAGCATTTTCAGGGTAGAACAGTTTTCCTTCTACCCTGAATGTGGAGATAGCACAGTCTGCCGAAGCATCTGTAATGATGTATTATATTGTATTACATGGCATCATATACCAAAAGATAGTAATCTTTACAGCTGACCTACTGTTTTATTGTTTGTCGTATTGCAGATCAACACATTGGGCATCTTCTGAACCGAGATCTATTGATGTCATTTGTGGATTTTGCAAAAAAATTTTTGGGAGCCTGTGGCATCAACCCCAAATCAGCAAATATTCCTATTAGGGTAAGTCTGAGTGGATGAAGCCAGGGACTTCAAGTGTGCACTGTATTCTTAGAGTTCTGATCTGTGAATCACATGACATTCAGTTACTAAATATAATGATGTAGGAAGAATAGCTGCAATTGGTATCTTATAATTTATTCATTATGACATTTTCAAAGGAGGAATATTCTCTGAAATGATGAATTTAAAATTGATTCAACTGCATTGGCTATTTGTAACTGCCACAAAACAGTTGCACGAAATCCACATCTGAAAACTGGGATTTAAAAAGCAACCAAAACTTGGGTAGCGGCATTTCTTTAACTGGAGGAATGGTGATTGTACTTTCATGATATGGTTTGGAACTGTGTAGCAGCCCTTCCTTTGCAACAGATATAACAGCTGCACTATTCACTCGCCACAGTGCCCTTTATGTAAACAGAGACATTAAAGCATTAAAGCAGAGGAGACTTTATATTGCACTTTCCATGCCTTACACCTCAAAATATTGTAATGAAATTGATTACAGTGAATAATACTTACTTACTTATGTAGCTGAGCCCTTCTCGAGGGGAAGTCAAATCTGCAGCTACTCAAGAATTTCCCAGCATTTTATGAAACCCAAAGGTTCATTACCGTGTTCACAAGACTCCTCTACTGGTCCCTATCCTGAACCAGATCAATCCAATTCATACCATCCCATCCTATCTCTCTAACATCCATTTTAATATTGTTGAATAATATAAACATAAATTAATAGCAGCCTGTAAGGCTACAGTTGTGCAGAAAAATAAAATTAGGAATCCAAATTCAAAATGTAAGAATAATGACGTCCTGTTTACTATCCATTCTGCTTCAAAATTCTTCCTTGAAAACAAACATTTATCATTTAGAAGTTGAAACAAAAAAGTAGGAGTCAAGGATGTTGAGTGATCTGATGAAGGGTGATATAGGGAGAATAAGAATAATCTCATAAAGTACAAGAGAGGGATGGAGACAGAGGAGACTGGAAATGGGTCTGCAAAATGACAACTCACACAACTGTTAATGCCTGTGGTTGATGATGACTTGTAATATTATTCTGCAGTGGTTGAAGACTGAAATTTGTTTGAAGTAAAAAGTGGTGAAACATAGGGCCACTTGCTCCTTGGAAGCGTGAAAGCAGAGAGATGACAAAACCCAACTGAGCAGGTAGCGCTCCTACTTCATGTCTGGGATATTATGGATTTGATTTTAGGCTTGCCAGCTGCTCTCCTTACTAAAGTCTGTCATGGGATTTTCAGTCAGAAATATAAAGAGGCCAACAGGCCACAGTCATTCCTTCTAAATCCCTCCAAATTCACATTTTATGATACAAAAGCATTTCGAAAGCATTAAATGAGCCATAAACAAGCAAAAGAGTCAGAAGACTGTCAGCAAGCCCTTTCACATTCCATCTTCTTTTGCAGTTTGAAGAACCAGTGTATGGTGACCAAATACCGGACTTTACCAATTTTGCTGCTCCAGGAGTTATTTTGACGTAAGTCATATTTACAATTCAAAACTGGAACTATGGTTTTAGCATATGAAGAATATAGGGTTTCTAATAATAGTGATACTTAACATTGTAATACTGACTTCTTACATAGGGAACAAGTGATCTTTGAGAAAGTGAGACCCATTGCTTCTATACAATGGAATAAACCACATTTTACAAACTTAGTAAGCTGCTTTCATCTTGTTTATTGTTTACATGGCTTATTTTTCATCAATGAAGATGGAGGCATTATGTTTCTCCAAGATGTAGGTGAAATGCTAGACTGCATGGCATCATATGCCAAACTATAGTATCCTTCAAATAATAGCTGTTGTCTCACAACTGACGTGTAGCTGCTCTAAGTTACTTAGTCACATTTTATCTGTGGTGGTACTACAATAAGACACAACACACAAATAACACAAACAATAAAGGAATACAATGCAAATACAATTACAACTACAATTAATAAATTAATATTAATAGAAATAAGTATACTATACACTAAACAGTAATAGTAATGAAATATGAAATGTCATGAGCTGATGCACCCACATTTCACCATTACTTTCCCTTAATTCCACTTCACATCCTCAAAACAGTCAATTTCCCTTACTTCACTTCACTTCACTTCACTTCACAGAATTTTCAGATGATTTCTCCCACACCTTCACTTCGCCTTGTTTATCACTTTCCTAACCCTTTTCCTACAAATACTTGGTTCCAGAGCTGGGTGGTCCTATTTACAAAGGAATATTTTCTGATATGTCTTTTGCTTCCTGCTCCTAATTTTCTTATCATGATGGTCTTTGTAATCTTTCACCTATAGCCTTCCAAGCCTGTTCTCCTGTGCACGCTTTGAAGAGAGCACATATGCGAGCTATCTTCCTGCGCTGTGTCAAGGCTTCCCAATTTGAATCATTTCTATGATACCATGCTTTGCACACAGTCTAGCACATTTATCTGTTCCTGTAAGGATCCCAGCATGCTGCCCCATATTCAAGAATCGGACGCAATAGTGATGTGCAGGCTACACTTTTAGTGTTACTATTTCCCTTTTTATGAATGTGTATTGTAAGATGAAGCGCCTTCCAGGCTTTTTTAACTGTTTAATTAACTTGATAAAAGGATAAATTTGACAACTTACTGTTTCAGAGAGGTAAGATATCTCAAGGCTTGGGTGCACAGTGAGATGAAAAGAATGTGTATATTCTGATTATAAAAGGCTCTGATGAAAGTGGACAACACTTAAGTTAACTGGATTTCTGGCCTTTGTCCATTATCTAATATTCATTAAAGACACAACATCACAGAAATGACATCTTTCCATACTCAGATGGAAAGGTGGGGAGTTTATCACATGGATCCATTTAGCTGATTACCTGTTTCTAATGGACCCAAGTGAGTAGGTGCCTCCCTGCTCTTCGGCCCAAGAACGGAAACAGATCCAGTTTCCGAAATGTTGTGTTCTGTTAGAATACAAGAAAAAGGACAAGTGCAGAAACTCATTACTCCATGTATATATAGCTTGAACATAAATGATGACATTTGTCTCTTCCATAGCATCATTTTCTTCCTGTCTCTTGCACTGACAGCTGGCTCAATGATAATGGAGAGGAAGGAGGGATTGCAAGAAAGGTGCTTGGTTTTGGGTAAGACGCTTTGCCCCTCCTATGCTACTTGTCGCAGATAATTACGCTGTCAACTTTTGGTTACATTTTAAACAATTACAGTCATGGGATTCAATGATCCTGGCACTGCTTGCATGACACAGCAAGACACAAAGTAGGTTGAAAAATATAGCACTGTGACAGTCAAATAAAATTTCAAGGACAGGATTACTATAAAAGAAATGGACACTTTCAACGTTTTATAAAAACCAAAGTATTATTGATATAACCAAAATACTTACATGGTTTTTAGTATACGAGTATGTCTTTAAGTCTGTGTGAGTAAGTTACAAATGTTCTATGTGTGGGCCTTTTGTCAAACAACAGATATCAATACGATAATCCAATTCATTCCAAACACACATTTCTTTTATAGTAACCCTGTTTAACATAGACCTACATCTGGTAATTCCAACCTATGGCTGTCAGCCAATGGTGTTCTGAGACAGACAGTGCTGGGCGCTGATGTGTGCGTTAATCAAATCCTGGACTGTAGTTTGAAGTTTTCATCAATCTATAGTGCTAATTTTTTCCAGAAATTTTGCAGTGTGTACCTGTAATTATTTGGTTTGCATCCATCCAGTATAACAAAAACAAAAATTTGAATTTTAGCTTAAACATTTTTACCCACAATCGGAGAGAAACACGATGTTGGGATTCAGACAATTTCAATTTCTTCTGAAAGGGGAGGCTCCTTGGAAAGAAAGCTGACTATAAAAGGGTTAACTTCGGGAAAATTGTGAATGTCTGTTGATAATGATGATGGCTGTTTTGATTATTTCAGACATTTTTCATTATTATACATAGTGCAGCATTTTTTTATTGAATACTTGAAGTAAAATTAAGGATTGAATCATAATGTTAAATGTCAACAATTAATTCTGTTATATAACGTTCTGTTTTTTCGCTGTAAATCCAAGGTACCATTGACTTTCTCAACATAATAATTTTCTTCACACAGCTTGAGAAAAGAACACAAATTCCTTCATACTTTTAATATTACTTTCCCTTGGGTAATAAAACTCTGTTCTTATTCAACTGTGTTGAATCTTTTCCTTGTGTCCCTTTTATTTAGCAATTTTTAATCACAGGTGTCACTCCACCTGAGATCCTCTTCTCACATGTGGTAACGCAGTTCGTTGTGATGGCACTACAGACCTTGATGGTGCTCGTCTTCTCCTTTGCCGTGTTCGATATTCTGTGTGCTGGATCTCTCTTGTGGGTTATCATTCTTACAATGCTCAGTGGGCTCTGTGGTATGTGCTTTGGTAAGTTCCCAACATATATACAAGTAAAATTACTCTTCAGTATTACTATGCCATCTATAAAGTGATTGAATGACTGGAATGTTTATTCCCTACGTGAACTTGAATATTTCTCCTCACTATCATATCCACATGGCCATGCCATAGCTCAAGCGGTTAGTCACTGGCTTCTCACCGCAGCAGCCCAGGTTCGATCCTGAGTCTGGTCAAGTGGGATTTGTGGTGGACAAAGTGGCACTGGGGCGGGTTTTCTCCGAGTACTTCGGTTTCCCCTGCCAATCTTCATTCCACCAAATTCTCCAACATCATAATCACCTGGGGCAGGTACAATAGGCCAATCAGTGGCCGCCATGCTGAGTGGACTCCACTTGGACTCCACCTCCCACTAAGCGAATTAAGAAATTAAATTATTACCATGTCCACACTGGCTCTGGGGGCCCATTCAGTGGGTATAGGACGTTCTTTCCCTGGGCATAAGTTATAGCTGCAGCATGAATCTGGCCTCCATCTAGTCCACAGGTTAAGACTGGCTCCATCCACAGTTCCCCCACTTATGAATTCTTGGATAGGACACCTTTTTGAGAGTACACAGAACTTAAAATAATAAAGACAGTCTGTGAAATATGTCATACTAATATTATCTTAACAAAACTGATCACTCAAGAAGATATACTGTAAAGATGAATCTTCTAGCTGATTGTAGTAATTCTCTCACTAAAAAGCATGATAAAGCTGATTGCAGTACCAATCTCACTAAAAAGCATGATAACTTTGCCTATGTTAATATTAACCAATGGTTGAAAGATTGCTGATTCCAAGAATCAGTTCAGAGATACTTGAAGAGAGACATATTCAGAGATAGTACACTACGTACAAGTAGATGCCTTTATGAATAATACAAGCAAGTTTCATAGAAACTGGACAAAACATGTAAAGATATTTTTTACAAGTGCTTCAATAATATGTCTGTAGTCTGATTAATAGTCTAGGAACTAAGGAGAGCACTGGGTATTTATATCTCGCAACACAATATCTTAATAACAAAGATTTCAGAAAAGTTGCAGTTGCAAGGAATATAAGGATTAGCACTTCTATCTGACTTTACTTAAATGCGCCATAAGACATTAGTAGAACTTACTGAGTAGCTGCCTGTAAGTAAGAAAATGTGATCTAAAAAGTGCAAAGCGTCAGGTGGGGCTCCACTTCTGATTTTGCATTTTGGCTAGAGTCAGAGTAAGGAGGTTCAGTTTCAGTTACAAGGAAACATTGAAACCTCAGAGAAGTTACTAAGGAAACATTACATTTTGATGGTAATAGAAATGGGAACTTGGCTGTTTTCAGGATTTGTTGTGTCCAGCTTATGTGACACAGAGCTAACCGCCACCTACTTTGCAATGGGAAGCTTTCTGCCTGTTCTTATGCTGTGTGGTAAGTTTACATCTTGAGACACATTTTTCTCTTACTTAGGGTTTGTAAGTTTCAGTCTTATTCTTACAAAACACATACAGTGGGATGCCAGTTTTAGTCGTTTATGAGTACAGGATGGGATGGTATGGATTGAATAAATCTGGCTCAGGATAGGGACCAGTGGAGGGCTCTTGTGAACACGGTGATGAACCTTCAGGTTCCATAAGATGCTGGGAAATTCTTGAGTAGCTGCAGAATTGGCGGCTCCTCAAGAAGGGCTCAGCTCCATGAGTGAGTAAGTAAGTATGAGTACAGAAATATAAAATAAAAATGGTAAAAATATGTAAAACGTTGCAAGTCATACAGCTGTATATAAATGCTATTATCTATTTGTTGTAGAAACACTGCATGTGATATAGTAGATTTTTGAAGAGTTTAGAAACAAAGTCAAAAAAAGCAAAGTCGTCCCTGTGCTTAACTAATTAAGCACTATGCCATGAAGTCATATGGGTGAGTGGATGTATAGGTCCATGCTTTCTTAACCTCAGCACTACATGGAGGTGAGTGGTCAGTTTCACCCTCCTGCTGCTTTATCCTTGGGTAAAGAGCCCCTGGTACCCACTGGATAGGAGGTTGGGTGGACCCCAGGGCCCATCCAAATGACATGGAGAAGAGAAAGTTCTTGACCTTACTGGGACTCCGACCCCCTCGGTCATCCAGCCCATAGCCAGTCACTATAACAACTACAAGATAAATGGACTGTGACTAGGAAATCTGAACACTAAAATGAAGGAATTGAAGGAATATATATTCCACTGCAAAGCAACTTTGAGTTTACAGTTTCTTGCTATGGAATTTATAGACATAGATGGGAGATCCTCCACACAAAACCTCCCTTTTACCACACTGATGGTTCTTAATAATGGGAGGGACGTAAATACTGGAACTCTCATGACTGTGTTTAACTGCAGTAGGTCATTCCTGTGATGTTCTAAGAGCAGTCAAGAAATTCCCACATTTTATGAAACCTGGAATTTCGTTACTGCCCTCACATAAGTTCAACACTGGACCCTACACTGAGCCAGTAATCCAATCAACACATGCAGGTGCTGTTTCTTGAAAATTTATTTTAATATTTTCCTCACATTTATCAGTAGGCCTCTCAAATGGCGTTTTCAGGCTTTTTGACTAATATTCTTTTCTATTATATGTCTTCTCATTCTCCATGATTGTATTATAACAGTGATACAAAGTATATATTATGATGCCTTATAATTTCCTGCAATATTAGTTATAAAACCTGAAAAACATGCAGATTTCACGATGAGTCAACACAACTTATGGGCTTAAAAGTCAAAACTCAACTTTTCAAAGACTCAGCCATACAGCCNGCAGCTATTCAACTGCTCTGAAGATGGAGGCGCTACGTTCCTCCGAAACGTCAGCCAAAACGAAGAATACACGGTGCATAAACCCAGAAGACAACTTTCTTCAGCCTTCTATATAAGTCACTTCAGATAATGTTCACTTCATGAACAAGTAAATATCATGACAATAATGAAAATAAGACTTAGAGCCATTTGAATTCTCTACATTCAGGTGAACCATGTGCTTACACAGACAGATTCTCTATAAGTCATTGAACCTTTAATTTGCACATACATGGTGTCCATTTAATATCAGAGGCAACTGCCTTAATTTATTCCAGAATTTGCTGTTTAATGCCAGAAAGTGGAGTATATTTCGCCAAAAATTAAACCCTAAATTTGGTAAGAGGTAGATTTTGTTTTGATATGAAATCCATGTTCTTCATCACCAGGCATCTGCTGGCCAGTGGAGGGGATGCATTACACACTCAAGTACGTCAGTTTTGTCTTGCCTCTCACCTTCTCAACAGAATCGCTGCGTGCCATCTTAGCCCGAGGATGGGACATCTCACAACCAGTAGTGTACCACGGTTTTGTAGCAACAGGCGTCTGGATTGTGGTATTCTTGGCAAGCAGTCTCATGGTGCTCAAATTCAGAAAAGGTTAAAACAAAGTGACTAGAAGTACTGTGGACCAATCCTATTTGCAAGGTAGAAACACTGTCAATATGTGTAGAAAAGGGAAAAAATTGGATGTGGCAAGAAAGGAAACGTGATTGCAGATGGAAATTTATGTACTACAGGAATTGCCAGAGAAATTCTGAGATAAAAAATGATGAGATATTGGACTGATTAATCAATGATATAACATCAAAATCCCGTGTAATCCTTAAATTTCGATATTACAGTATAAATAAGAATTGTCAGGTGTACTTCCAGAACATGGAGTCAGAAATGTTAACACCAAAAAATGTAAACCTCTTACTTTACCCAACTTTTTGGAGGAACCTACCACTTCCATCTTGAGGGTAAAGACTAAGCCATGCAGGAAAGGGAGAGTAGAGATACGAATGAAGACAGGAAATGAGAGATTACAGGCCATAAAAGGGTCAGGCCATTAGCCTACTCCATTTCCTTTACTCTTTTCTCTCTAACTGTACACTCTCTTCCCATGCATGGTTTACTGTTGCACTCTGAAAACTGAGGCAATTGGATTCTCTGAAATGCTGGTATCTTTCTTCCATTCTATATGGTGTCACATTCCAGGAGACAGGAACACCTCGAGCATAACTGTCAGCAGTGGTGATTTTCTTCTGTTCCTCTGTATTTTTCAGCTGTTGCTTGGAACAAGTTTTCCTTTGTAAGTTTTGAGGTTTTCACGGCAATGACTATGAAGAAAGTCGTCTTCTGGGATTAGGCGCCGTGTATTCTTCGTTTTGGCCGACGTTTCGGAGGAACGTATCGCTACTGCTCTCTGCATTCCAAGCCATTCACCTGCTTTGAAGATGGAGGTGATACGTTCCTCCGAAATGTCGGCCAAAACGAAGAATACATAGCGCCTAAACCCAGAAGACGACTTTCTTCAAGTTTTCCTTTTGTCATATTTTGAATGTATAACTTAGGAAAGCTCTTTGTTCAAAATTCTTGATTATTTAACAGTTCAGTCAGTCAAGTTAGATAGGAAGACATTTTATATGAACTACATTTTTTTCTGACATTTGCAATGTGGATAACAAGAGTGACAGTCTCATAAAATTTTCCAGTTCCTAGAATTCCTAAAATATGAATGGATATGATTGATTGTTAATTTAGAAATAACTCATTGACATGAAAGAAAACAGACAACCTCCAGTTACACTGTGTAAGAGACACGGGTACCTGAGAAGTCAAAAGGTCTGTGTGTTAACAGAATGTTCACAAGTAACACACTTGAGTACAGGAGCTTCATATGCATATGTTCCTCAGAAATTAGTGAGCTGGTGTGTAACAGAGTAAATGATCACTGTGTGAGTGGGTAATCAAGTTGGTGAGTGGATGGGTAGATGGGTGACTGCGGGTTGGCAGGTGAGAGAATGGCTGTGTGAGTATGTGGGTAAGAGGATATATAAGTCAGTGAGAGGGAGAGCAAACAAACAACTGTGTACATTTTTGGGTGTCCTTGCATGTGTATATAATACATTACCCTAAAAATATAAGAAATAAACCCCAAGAAATAAAACAAACTGATATAAGTATCAAACTGAAAACTCAAATGAATGCTATTTTACAGATGATGTTCATGAACAAAATACACATTAACAACTTAACATTTTACATTTCCATATAAAAAATGATAGTGATGTACCTATATTCAAATTTTAAGAGAAAGCTATTGGTTGAATAAAGGATGTTACTCCGTGAGAATTATTTAATAAATGAGTACTTTAGCCTAACTATATAGGTAGGCAAAGCTGTTACTGTTCACTTTTCTTCTGCGATATGACAAAGCCCTCCACGACTGGTGTTAGGGGGATGTACTTCTGTGTGGCAAGTTTATGCCTGTCACCCATGGCAAGAAGCACTATGGTATTGTGAGTGTGCACTCCTGTACTGTATCTGGTGTCGCTGTCTTCTCCAAAGTATCTACGGCTCCATGGGTAGAGTAGCTGGGTCACGAATCTGGCCACTCACTTCCATGTAGTATCCAGGTAAGTAATGGTGAAGCTATAGCTCCATTCCCCCATATCTGTTCATGGTGTAATGCTTAATTAAGCACAGGGCCAACTTTGCCCTGTTCGTCAGTCAAGGCTGACTGTGGGGACTGCCCAACCTTATATCCCGTGGGTGCCATGGGTTCTTTCCCCGGGGGAGATAAAGTGGATGGAGCATGAGGCTGAACAGTGCTTCCCCTCTTTATACTTCTTTAGAAAGGGGATGACACCGCTTCCGTTCCTGGTTCGTATGTTGCGTTCTCAACATTCATGTAGAGAATTATTTAAGAAATTAAAAATTCTACCTCTTCAATCGCAATACATATTATCGCTTCTCTTATTTGTTGTTTAGAACAAAGATAAATTCAAATTAAATTCTGATGTCTATAACATGAATACTAGACAAAAATATAACTTCCACCTACCCTCATCAACTTTATCAGTATATCAAAAAGGAGTCTACTTTACTGGCATAAAAGTGTTCAACAATCTGCCACAAAGTATTAAAAACTTGGGCAATGATACTAAAAAGTTTAAATCAGAGTTAAAGAATTATCTACATGCTCATTCCTTCTACTCTTTAGATGAATACTTCAATGTAAATAATATTAATTTTTAAGCTAAAATTGCCTGTACTTTTGTATGTAACCTTTTGACTTGTTCTGTATCCAAAGGTACTAACCTACTTAGGATTTATAGAATGTAAATAAATTCAATTCAATTCAATTCAATGCCTCCCTCCCAAGCTGGAATCTTAATCAACGATAGCCAGAAAATCTCCAGATAACTAAATAAATATTTAATACAACGAAATGAATCAATACAATACAATACAATCCAAATACAAACTTTACTCACGATGCCCCAAAACTGATGTCACGTATTTTGGGGATCCCTCGCAGTCAACGGCCAGTAGAAATAAAAACAAAAAAGAAACCTGAATTTTGGAAAAAACAAAACAAAATCTCAAGACAGAATTTCACCCACCTACCACGTCGATGGCGAGTCACTCCCTCTTAGGAAATTCTCACGAGGAATACAAGCACACTGTGTTCGCAAAAAATCAAAACAGCACTAAAAAATATTGGAGCAATACAAAACTTCAGGCAAGTAAAGTACAACACTCCAAGAAACCCCTAAATAGCGACGCTCTATGCAGCCGTCTCAAAATCAAGGGGGACGCTTGCCCTCCACAGCCAGAAGGAGAAACCAAACGGAATTTGGACTAACCAAAACTCAACAGAATTTCACTAGCTCCTCTTCAGACTGCTTGTAAGGGAGTGGGCTTGGTCCTCTACTCTGCTCTAATCTAAACAAGGTAGAAACAGCTGGAGGGGAGGGAAATCACGCGATGGACTGAAATGTTGTAAAAGTTATAGAACCCTTTTTTATTGCTAGTGGGGTGGGACTAAGTCCCTTGTACTGTGGTCACTTCTGGCCTATTGTACCAGCCCCGGATGATAGGTGAGGGTGATTGTGGAGCAATTGGTGGAATGAAGATTGGCAGGGGAAACCGAAGTACTGGGAGAAAACCTGCCACAGCACTAGGATGGGAAGACAGCAACTAACCACTTGAGCTATGGCGCGGCCTTGTAGAACCCTAGAACCCCTAGAACATAGAAGGAAGGGAAAGGGGGGGGGAGGTCAGAAGAAGAGGCCGCTGAAACGAGCCGTGAGTAGTAAGGTTAGTAAGCATCGTAGGGATCGCAAGCATGGCTCAAAGCCCTCGAAGGGCTGGAAGGTGACAAGTCAGCTGCATGCAGTACTGAGGTAAGAATGGTGAAGCTATACTTCCACTGCCCATACGTCTTCATTGCGTAGTGCTTAATTAGTTAATCACAGGGAAAACTTTACTTTTATCTTACCATTTTTGTTGCAGGACACGACTCTTTTCAAATATTTCCGCCGTTGTGTATGAGGGATTTGCTAGCGGTATCACTGTACGGTTTTGTACTCTGGGATTTGCGTACGCTTTTGTCCTTATAAACGTGGATAATGACGTATATCATACAAAATTGATACTCCTTATGGTTAAAAGAAGTTCACTCTAAACGTGACTTTATATACCTAGCATTTTGCAGAATAATTCTCGTTGTAGAGTAATTCTGAATATAATGTTGGAGACCCTGAATCGCATTGTTTACTGTGTAATAGTTTATTGCAGCGTGTTGAAATTTTAATTATAATTTTATTTCTTTAGACAGTTTTTTTTTTTGTAAATCATAACAATATAGTGATAAAATGGTAATACTTTGTGTTGTAATGTTTTAGTCAGGATTGCTTTATAAAACATTGTAATTTTCAGCTCGGAATTGGTTTTATTAGGTTACGTTCGTGGCCGCGCGGACTAAAAGACATGAACTACCTTCGCCCTCACGACCACTGGGATTGTGGGTTCGACCCCCACTCAATGCATGGATGTGTATGTGTGCTTTTATTCTGTGTTTGTGTTCTCTGTGTACGTAGCTGCCTTGCGACGGGCCGATCCCCCGTCCAGGGAGTCATACCGACTGTGTATAGGATCAAGAAACAGAAAAATCGTCCAAGGTTCAACAGAGGGCTGTAGAGCCATAGATAGATAGAGGAATAAAATCATAGGCTTTGTTCATGCACACTTGCTCATTAGTGTGTTCATGTGGCCATGACTAATACCTTTGCTGTAGGATGGTCTTTTCATTAGTCAAGTTAGGACAGTTTATGTTAGGGTTAATAACCTTAGATAAAACCAAATTTAATGAAATGTAAACTGCAGACAAAGTTACTAATCATACATTGGATTTATTAACTATAAGTATACATGTTTGCTGGCCTCTAAAGGTGTACCCTAATTCCAATTACAGGGTCTGCTATCAATTCTTCGTAAACTAAAATCTCAACCAGACAAAGAACTACGGCTGTTATTACTAGGTTTGGATAATGCTGGGAAAACAACACTGTTAAAGAAACTTGCTTCAGAAGATGTAACCCATATCACCCCAACACAAGGATTTAATATAAAGTCTGTACAGTCAGAGGGCTTCAAGTTAAATGTGTGGGACATTGGTGGACAAAGAAAAATTCGACCATATTGGAGGAATTATTTTGAAAATACAGATGTTCTTGTAAGCACCGAAAATGATTCTTTTCATAGATTATAGGTGTATCTATTTATCAGATTTCATCCATTGACAGAGAACTTACACTTTTTAGGATTTGTGAGAAATGTATTTTATTATTTGTATTCAGGAAGTACTTGGTTCATATATTGGTTAGTTACAAGTTATCCTAATTGATTTTTACCCATGTAGTTGGATGCCTTCAGTAAATAATATAAGAATAAATAAATTAATAAATGACTATGAAAACTAACTTGGGAACAGATGTTTAAAATGTTGTCACATATTGGGTATGTAACGCGACAAATAACTTCACGCCGTCTTGGATGTAGCGAATTTATTGAACACTTGCTCTTACACTTACACAATTTACAGTTTCACAATTACTGCCATCTGCAGTATCACAATTACTTCTCCTGCTGGAGTCACTGCCATGCACTCGATACAACTCGACTTGTAGCTGCTGGACTTGAATTCATACTGGATACTCAATCCTCCATACTAGTAACTCTCTCATAATTCAATCCTCACTACTACTGATTAGTGTTCGCTGCTCCTTGTTTAGGCCCGGCATGGACAACATAGAGAACACCTTGCTAGATATTGTCAGGTGTTTCTACCTACACATTGCCTAGCAATAGTCGCTGCACAGACTCGCCTGTTGAGTGATATCACAGCCTCGCAGGGAGGGGTGTATACTGAGTGTTGCATAATGATGGAAGGAGTGGGGGTATGAAACGTCACTTGCAAGAACGCAGATTTCATGTGACCCCTGCTTCCTGTTGTACCATCCACATCACAGTGATGAACTTTGTGATTTATAGAGCATATGTAGTTGCAGTGCCTCCAGACATGGTCTGTGTTACCCTTTCAGGTCTCTGCCCACCTAGGCAGTTGGATTGTCAATAAGATGGATTGGATAATTGGATGATTATGAAAGTGGTGGTCATTAGAAGGGATTTACAACTTAATGTTTGCTCCAAATTAACTGCTTTTGTTCTTGTATATTCAAAATGCTAGTATACTACAATATATTCAGAATAACCTATATCTCTGTCATGTTGTAGATATATGTGATTGATAGTGCTGACCGTAAGCGTCTAGAAGAAACAGGTCATGAACTGGAAGAGCTATTAATGGAGGAGAAGTTAGCTAATGTACCATTGCTAGTCTATGCAAACAAACAAGATCTGTTGCATGCAGCTCCAGCATCAGAAGTTGCTGAAGGGCTAGGACTTCATACTATTAAGGATCGGCCATGGCAAATACAGGCGTGTTCTGCGACTGCAGGGGAAGGGGTTAAGGTAAGTACTTAAGTGTATCATGATAATATACATTCTGCTAATTAAATCAATGACTTTTTGGTATGCTTGACACACAACTTGGCTGTGAGAAACAAGACGTTTGTTTGACAAGCATTTGGACGTGGATTAAATTGAGCTAGATCAGGGCTGTACATAATCATCTGTATTTCACTGAACAGGCTTGTACAGGGATAACATAGCCTTCTGTTTGAGAGTTACAGTGTTCAAAGTCCAGTTAGTGACTAGTGTTGTGGCCCATGTTATTAAGGGATCGATTTTGTGTTTAATTTATTAGAAAATAATTATACATTTCATAAATTTAAAAACGTCAGGTGAACCACAAGTTGGAAACCTGCCCGTTGCCAGAGTTGAGACGCTGTACGTTCTTTAGCTGATTCCTCCCCTCAAGTCTCTTCTGATTGTGAGTATGCTCACAAACGGCTAGTGTAAGCCTAAAGAAACTGACCAACAATGCCTGTGATGGGCTGAGTGGGTGTGTCACATGATGCATTATCTGATTGCTTCTCCTTGGATAAGAGAATATCACGTATTATTTTATTTTTCACAGAGTGTTAGTCAGGCTAACATAGTTAAGCTGAATGCTCTGCCACCGCTTCAGCAGTTGGTATAGCACTATAAGGTAATGGAGTGATCAAGCACTTTACTTTTCTGAACATCGGTTTATTTTGCTTTGCTTCCAGGATGGTATGGAATGGGTCTGTAAAAACATTAAGAAGAAATAGTCGTGACTTTAGCAGGATAAAAATTTGGTGAAGGTACATTATTTTCATGGTAATGAATTTTGCAACAGAAAACCTGGCTAGAATACAGAGCAGTTTGTATAAGAAGATGATAACCAGGTTGTTAGACATTTGCTTTCTTGTCATTTATATGTGGATGCACAAAAGACTGCATTATGGTTTGCACAGAAGCTCATTTTGCTTTTAGTCAAAATGTGTAGGTAGTTTATTAGTAAGTCTCGATCTTGGTGTCCCCTTAATGGACTTCTGATACCCAAAACCATATATGATTGGTCTTCAGCTCTGTCAGCGATGTAATCATTTTGAAAGTAATGCAAGTTACATCAAAGGAGAAAATATTCTGGTAGCTTTTCTTTTGATTGAAATGTCTGTGTTCCTCCATATTCCAGAAACTGCAGAGATTATGAATTTTTGCACAGAAAATTTAAGAAAAGAATATATTGTGCAGTTCTAATTTTATTTAACCAAGAACTGAAGTAAAGGAATAAGCTACTTCTTCAAAGTTTTGAAAGATAATTGAGTTTTTAAACAATTCATAAATTGTAAGATTTGAGGCTTTCACGGCGGTGACTATGAAGAAAGCAGTCTTTTGGAATTTGGCACTATGTATATGTGGTGTTAACCAACGTTTCGTTACTCTGAAACGTCGGTTAACACCACATATACACGGTGCCAAATCCCAGAAGACTGCTTTCTTCAATTCATAAATTGTTTTAAGAAATGGGATGTTTGGGTACAAAGAACTTCAATTTTAGGTTTATTGACATGACATCGCCACCTGAGTGACTTATTGGTGTTAAATCTATTCAGGAAAGTATGAGAAACACTTAAATTAACTGGTCTGCTGCTTTGTACAACAAAGAAGTTATTGTGTTGCATCTCCCATTCTCCATGACACATGAAATATGTGTTCATATTTTGTGTTTATTATCTCTAAATAGCAATTATTCCCTTGTACCTAAAATTCAATTTAAATATACGATGGGGTACCCAGAAGAAACCGAACTAATTTTTTTGTGGGCAGAGCTTCTGTAGTACCGCGTTTTGCCGCTATGAACGCATAGAGCTAACATTCCTGAGTCGATAAGCCGACTACCGTTGCTTCAGAAGGTAAGGACTAGTTTCAGCAGAGTTTATAGTGACAACTGTTTTGTGTGATCATTGTTTCTGCAATGGCTGATTTTCGTGAAGAGCGTGCGGCGGTGAAATTCTGCTTTTTGCTCAGGAAAAGTGTAACAGAAACTCTTGAAATGTTAAAAACGGCGCACAGGGATGATGCTGTGGGGAAAACTCAAGTGCTTGAGTGGTTTTCCCGTTTCAAAAATGGTGAAATGTCAATTGATGACAAACCTCGTTCTGGTTGTCCTTCCACGGCCCGAACACATGAAAATGTTGAAAAAATTCGTGAAATCATCAAGGAAGATCGATGACAGACCATTGAAGAAATTGTGGAGCTGTTGGGAGTGACTTGGAGCTCAGCGGCCAGATTTGTAGCAGTCGGGTGACTGGTTTTCCATCATGACAATGCCCCTGCTCACACAGCCCTGTCTGTATCACAGTTCTTGACCAAAAATGGTATGACCCCTGTTCCTCACCCTCCATACTCACCCTCCATACTCACCCGACCTTGCCCTGTGCGACTTTTTTTTGTTTCCTCGAATGAAAAGAGACATGAAAGGAAAAAACGACGGAGGCGCTGTCAAGCATCTCAAAAGATGAATTTAGACGATGTTTTGAAAAATGGAATAAAAGACTAGACAAGTGTATTAGTGTAAGTGGAGAGTACTTTGAAGGGGATTGAAGGTTTGTGCTTAAAATTTGAATAAATAAGTTTAAAAAAAAATAAGTTTGGTTTCTTTTGGGTACCCCCTCGTATATAATCGTATGGCTGCTGCTGGAAGTGTTGCGTGGAAGTACGCTGTAAGAAATGTGGAAAATCTTAAGGAAATTGTTAATTCACCATGTGAATAATAAAATGAGTCCTCCAGAGGTTTAAAACTTATCAGAAATTTTGCATTGCAGCACCAGCATACTAGTATTTCAGACTTTTAATAGAAAATTAGGCAAAATGACTACTATTATGTTGCCCGTAAAATTGCTTGACCTTTCTTTGGATAAAGAAAATTTTACCCATCATGTACCATTTGAATTCTAAAGGGAAAGAAAAAGTGGCAAGAATTATTGGACAGTATATAAATAAACAGCTAAATAGACAGGATAATAATATCCTTATGTTACCATGGACTGAGGACAATAAGTATCCCATTTCTTTGATGGAAACTGAGATCCCTGCCGGTGTATGGTCAACAGAAGTAATGTTAAATAAAGCAAGAGTATCCAAAAGATCTAAAAACCATCTGTAAGGACATATAATGATTTTTATGGTCGACCACATAAATAATGCGAATGTTAGGCATAAAAAACTAGGACCAGAAGTGTCATAATAATTTTGAAAATAATAATAATAGAGAAGATAAAATCAAATCCTATAAATCTGATTGTGTTCTTGATCTAAATCAATCAAGTAATCCTGCTGGTAGCCATTTGATAGACTGAAGGGAATATAAGGGTAAATCTATTCTCATCTCCTTTTCAGTGTAAATTACATTCTCAGCAACAAAATTCCTGTATGATAAATCCATACGTTAAGAATGATCTAACCATATTTCATCAGAATATATGTGATTTACAAAAAAAAAAAAATAAAAAAAAATGAAATTTTATGTCAGTTTTCATTGAAATTACCTCATGTATTATGTATTACTGAACCATTTATCCTCGTCTGAAATTTAATCAGTTTCTATTGATAATTATACACTTTTTGCCTATTATTGTAGAAAACGTGTATTGAAGGCCGGTGTGTGTAATTTTGTTAATGATCATATAACTTGCTCCAATTTCAATCTGGAGACTTATTGTGTTGACAGAGACATTGAGGTATATGCGGTTCAATTAAACCTTCTCAATAATAAATTTTATATGTTAACAATAACCATCTGGGAATTTATAAATTTAGAGCAAGCATTACAACTGCTTTACAATCCGAAAACTTACCTAATAACTTGCGGGGACACAAATATAAATCATTTAGAAGAGTCAAATAGAGTCAGGCAAATAAATGCCCTACTTAAAACATTTAACTTCGTAAACATGATTATCTTTCCCACTAGATTATGTAGAAGTACTAGTACTGCCATTGATAATATCTTTATGGATACTTCTAAAGATAGGAATTTTTTGGGGTTGTCCGATCATGAAGGTCAACTACTTACCTTAGGCCTCCCATTATTGCATAAAAAAGAACCATACTTACTCTTGTAGGAAAATTAACAATTGCTGATTTCCAAAAGCAATTAAGTTATGAGAACTGGGATGATATTTTTGGTGAGAATAATGTGAATCTCGGGAAGACAGCGACTAACCGCTTGAGCTATGGCGTGGCCCTAATCATTACAATATATATTGAGACCTAATTTTTATGTGAGATATTAGTTTAATATAAGTTTTTGATTAATAAGAGTATTGTGGTTTATTTTTTTAAATTTATTAGCAGTATATTGCTATAAATGCGTTCAATTCATGTTACTTCTTGCTGTGAACATTCATGTTTATAGTGTGATTTGCAGTAAGAGATATCTGTTTTGTTGGTTGCAGTATTACAGAATTCCAGGTAATCTCTTTTCCTTTTCACATAGTCATATCAGTATTTGATACACTGATCTCAATCTTTATGCATACTAGTAAGAATAATTATGATCTAGTCATCCGTCCATGATAGAGCAACTTCAGGTGAATGTGTTTCTATGTGTGTGTCTGAATAGTAAATAATGGGTTGATTATGTGCTAAATTTTACACCAAGTTTGCTTAAATTGACTGTTAATTGTTACAGCAATACCATAAGAAACATATTTATGTAATTTCAACTAAATGGAAGTACTAATTGCTTCATATTAAGTACTTGCATAAATCTGTTGTTCTGTGGAACCGTAGACCAGAGTTTTAACACACTTTGACACTAATTACTGTTCAGAAACTTGAATACTGATTGTAGGTATTGTGGTCTTGTAAATTCTGCTTCCAGTGTGCTGGGTATTATAATCATTTGTTTGTGATACATTTAGCATCATGAATAGACAAAAGAGTTTTATTGGATAGTACTTCCAGTGCTACTACCCAGACAAAGTTAAATTTCCATTTATGTTTTTCCATACTGGGCTGAAACATAGTTTATACTTCTGTAAGATTATAGTCAGAGTAGTTTAAAATATCACTGTTCGGAAGAAAGTTTTAAATTTGTGTTAAGTAACAATGTATTTCCTTTTAAGAGCATTAGAGCCTGACTCTCTAAAAGTAACAACTTTCCACGTTGCTCCTGTTTTTGTCTCCTACCACATCTCACAAGTCCAGTATTCTCCTAAAGTTTGTGAAGAGTGTTAGAAAAACTAACATTGTTTGTTGTGCTGTCATTGAGATGGAAAGTGTATCTGATGGAGAACAGTAAATGCCGCTTATGCAAAGCGTGCCAGTGGACAAGTGCTAATAATTCTTGATCTGTTGTGTATTGCAATGCTGTTGCTATAAGAGCAGTTGTCTGTTTTTAATATTGGGCAGTCCATAGGTTGTAGAATTCTTGGATGATAATGGGATTGACTTTGCTTTAGTAACTAAGTTGTATATGTTTGTATCAGTATATTTTGATTTGCTTTTGTCAGATTTCGCCCTTTTTGTATCATTTGGTTTAAGATGCATAGGGGTTTAAGACTGGGAACTGTTTGTGTGTGGTAGTGTTTATTACAGTGACAGTTTGGGTGAATCAGTATTAATATATAAATCATTGTGTTATTTCATAATTTTTCACTTTAATTTTGTGTGTTTGGAGCTGAGATTTTTTAATGCACAGATGTAGCGTAGTTTGTATGAGACAGTAGTAATATGCCTAACATAAATGTAGAGGTGCAGTTGTTGTAGGAAATGAGGCTTTCTTTACTGTGATCATATATACAAGTTTTTATTTATTTTCCTGGAATGTTATTTCAAATATGAATCCTTATTGGCACTGCATTGCATTATTGTAACAATGCATGCATGCATTCAACTGGCTGAGGTCTCTGTTTTTTTATACTAACACCATGACTGCCTGAGATTACAATCTGGATGCCAACCTCATAGTATCAGATGATTTAAAATCCCTTATTTCCAAAATGATGAACCTTAAAATTGTTTTTGGAGTATCTGAATTTGAATATTCACATAAAGAGCACTAATATCTTATATATCTGCAATGTGAGAAACCAGATATACATCAGGATACTGAATATTTGGTTAATTAGAGGAATCACATTTTTAGTCCACTAAATTGTGTAGAATTATTGTTACTCTCCCAGCTTCACTTTCTTTGTCTATGATTTGGGAGAAGGGTAGCAAGGGCACTTGAAAAGGTTAATGATCAGATTGGAATAACAAAAGCTGATCAATTCTGTGTTCTCTCAGTTGTGTATGCTGTCTCATTTTGTAATCCTGGCTGCTGGAGTGTGTGTTAGGAAACATGGCAGGAACAGTATAGGTTGTGTAGCAGGAGCTGGATTGTATCTGAAGAGAATGCTGATAGTGTGGAGAATGCTGCACTGCAGCTAAAAAATTTTACTCACAGATAACTCCTGTTTAACAAATTCACATGTTTCTTTAAACCCTGTTCTGTGTTCATAGGCTCTTATCACTACCATTGTACATTCATTTGACCCCCTCTGTGTCTAAAATAAGTTGATTGTTAATTAATGATAATTAAAAAGGACCATAATGGATGCATATGTCTTCTAGAAGTTGTTTGCATACATACTATCTTACCTTCAATAATCAAGAACAAAATAACAGGATTTATTTAATGTAAACAAATCTGAGTTGTGAGTCAGAGTAAATAATGTGTGTTTAAGTAATGATGAAGGAATTATATGGTGTGAAGAGCTGTATTACAGAGAGAGAGAGAGAAGCATGATTAGAATGCATAATGCAGCTGTTGCAACATAGCTGGAAATGTAACTAATAACTTGTTTCTTATGCACATGAACATTATGTATAATTTATTTTGTTGTAATAAAATAGTGAGGCTTTGAGATAGAAGATGGATCTTTATTAGAACATCTCTATCAAAGCTTGAATCCTGCTGTTTAAATAAAAGAAGTAATTGAGTGTGAATTCTTATTTTGCTAGAATTGTGGTTATCAAATTATTGGATATCATATGTTTTTTATTTTTTATTATTTTGCATGAAAGTATATTTTGGCTCTAGAATTTGCTAATGATGAGTATCTGTGTATAGATATACAAGAGTCAGCATTGTTGGTTGGTGTCATGATTTGCTGACAGTGATGGAAATAAGCTTTCAGAACTAATAATGATGCTTTCTGGATCTGAGGTAAAGTGATCAGATACTATAGAATTTTTACAGATGTTTGATTGAGTTTCTTATCAGGACTGTTTGTGCTAAGGGTTTTCATGAAGGGCACTGCCTTATAGTATGTCATAATCATCTCCATGTTTTTTTGTGATTTGAGGATTTCTCAGAGTGAAATTTCATTAGGGATTGTTCTGGATGAAGGAGTAGAAGCTGTCAGAAACAGTTTACAGGACATTATGACCGACATCCCATAGACATATCTGCCATTGGATGCTCTCCATAAAGAATTCCCTGGATTGCTGCAAGTACCGCTGCTGGCTCTGGGGGCTAGCAGTGCTATTAATGGGTTTCATTAGAATATTCTTCATGCATAATCTGTGAACTGTTGCCCCAAGTATTTGATACACTGGTGAAGCACTGCTATGGGAATGTTTTCTTTGGGCATTGTCCATTTCAGAGTGTAGCTTTGTCTGTATGGAATGGTACCTACTCTATAATAATCAGAGAAACAGATGACAGTATTTTATGTATGCATGTGGCATGTCATTTTCTGGACTTAATTCATTAAATGCTGCAACATTCCATTATACTTCGTAATGTAAGTATTAATTTAAATACGCAAGCAGAACACAGATCTCAGTGTAATCCAGCGATGATCGCTTTCTTCTATCATGCTTCCATATACTGACAGTGATGACAATCAGTGTAGTTTGTGACAAAGTATGATGAGGTTTACATAGTACATGTAGATTTAAAATTTTACTCCACTAAGTACTGGAAATTGGTTAGATAAATTGCATATTGTCTGGGTTTCCATGGAATTATGAATCTTAAGTATGCGGTACAAGTATAATTGTGTTCAGAAAAACGAATTTTAAACATCTACAGAACACTAAAGAGGGACCACTCTTAAAACTTGAATAAGAAATTTTTTTTTTAATTTGCATAGTAGGGGGTGGAGTCCAGTTGGGTCCACTTGGCACGGCGGCCACTGATTGGACTATTGTAGCCTGTCCCGGGTGGTTATGATTATGGAGAATTTGGTGGAATGAAGATTGACAGGAGAAAATCTGCACCAGCGCCATTTTGTCCATCACAAATCCCACTTAACCAGACCCGGGTTTGAACCCGGGCCGCCGCGTTGGGAAGGCAGCAACTAACCGCTTGATCTATGGCGCGGCCTTGTAAAATATGTTAATCGATACCTGGATGTATATTGTAATGTTGGCACCAGAAGCTGGGAATTTCCGGATGCAGGTGGTCAATTTAGATTCTCAAGATTCAAGATGGATGACGTGAATAAATAATGGCGGGAGATTGCAAATCGTTTAATTAATTCTGTTTAATTTTTTGTGTATAAGGAGTATGTGTGTTAAAGAATGTCATCACGTTGAAGTGAACTGTATTCATAGTGTATTACTTTCTGTGACATTTGTAATTTACAAGAGTTCGACGTTTTCCCACACAACGGTAATTCGTTGAATAAGTACGAAGTTCGTATTAGTTGCATCTAGCGTTTGTGATCATGAAGCAGTTAGTTTACGGAGCTGAACGGAAAGAAAGGGAGTGGTGACATATACAGTACATACGGCCACATGCAACTCGTATTCGTTTATGAACAAAAAAATGTGCAACAGTGAACAGTTCTGGAAGAGCTAACCCAACCTAATTCACGTATAGCATACCTACAGAAGCAGCTGTGAGTGAACTAAGTGAATGTTGGGGCGGGGCCCCGCTGACAGCCAGTGACTTTCGCGAGTTATGTGGGGAGCGACGTAGTGAAGCTGTTGTCATTCGGACAAGATTATTGAAATTATGGAAATTTAAAGCAACTCAGTCCCACCCAACTAGCAATAAGAAAAACTAAGTCCCTTGTACCGCGGCCACTTCTGGCCTATTGTACCAGCCCCAGATAATAGGTGAGGGTGATTGTGGAGCAGTTGGTGGAATAAAGATTGGCAGGGGAAACCGAAGTACTCGGAGAAAACCTGCCCCAGTGCCACTTTGTCCACCACAAATCCCACTTGACCAGACCCGGAATCGAACCCGGGTCGCCGCAGTGGGAAACCAGCAACTAACCGCTTGAGCTATGGCGCGGCCTCAGCAATTCAGTTAGTTTTAGAAGAAAACGGTGGAATCGTTTATAATTTTAATAATTCTTGCGTGTTGGTAGATGTCAGAATTTACGTGTTTCCAATAAGGGTATTAGAAAATTGTTGCAAATATTCGTGCTTTGGAAATGCGTGGAACATTCGGTAGAAAATTTCGAAAAATCGAAGAATGTGAAGATTATGTGAAGTCTAAGGTGTGTACAATATCTGTATAATGTTTTCATGGAATTTGAGGTTAACCACTTTTAAATATGTTATATGAAAATCTTTCTCTTGTGAATAGATTGAAGAGCATTGACGCAAAGATTTACACATATCATCATATGATTGCTATTTTAACCCCACTGATATGAGATGGTCCCAGACTAAGAGAAATTAAATAGCATTATTAGTCAAAACATGTTTGAAATGGAAGGTGTGAAAGAGACGTGGGAAAAATTGTTAGAACAGATTAGTATATTTGTTCTATGTTGACTGCAAATCAAAGACATGATGTGTCACATAAAATTACTTATATTATCTTGTAATATTTTTGTAGAGTGGAGACACAATGGTAGAGATCCATTTTCCAAACTTTCAGGTCACTCCAGTATTGTCAGAGAATGGTGTTTGACATGCAGGTGAAGGAAAGCTGGGAAACAGAAGCCTCTGTAGAAAACAGGAAAGCTGTGGATTTTCTTGTTATTAGCCTTGAAGAGACCTCCACAGGGGAGAATGATTCACATGACTGACGAGGGCCTCTTGGATGTGATTGATTCCTGTTACTATTCAATGTAGTAAATAATTGAATGTAGTTGATTATATATAACTGTCGCTGGTTTGCTATGAGGAGACATCTTGAAGGTTTTACAGCAGCAGCAAAAAATAATTTTGAAATTTCACAATGTCAATTCAGTTAATATCCACTTCCCCCATAGAAGTAAGGACTATGAATATTTGTATTTCTATGTATTAACTATTTCTTTGATACATGTTTTTTATAATTTCAGTTTCTGGTTTGCTTTGAAAGAAATACTTTGTGTGCTGTGGACATAAGGATATTTCTGATTCTGTCTACATCACCGGGAAAGCAGCAGAGGATATACAGGTTAATGTAAACAGCTATACTGTAGAAGGTAGTTCCAGTAGACAGTAGCTTGTAAAAGGAGAAGAGTGTATCTTTTTCAAAAACAATTCACAATTTAATCATCTGTTGGATATTAAATATCACTATAATGAACAGGACATTAAATGTGCTCTTCACCTTGAATCCATATTCTCTGTTATTCACCACTTATATATATACACACACACACACACACACACACACAGGACCCATGCCAGTGACTTCAAACTTTTCTTAAACAACTTAGGAAATAAAAACTATAATTATAAAACTAAACCTGATTTCGCCTTTGTGATGACATAAATACTGATTATATTATCAAAGTTAACAACTAACAGTGTCTAAACTCACTAGTAACACCTTCCAGTCTCACATCAGTAGTTCATTTCCCCACAAAAATTAAAAATTACTCATGGACTATGATTGGTAATATTTTGATAATCGGTTCCAGGAAAGATCTTATTTGTATCAAACCAGCATTAGATGGGTTATCTGTTAATGATGCTGAGCTCAAAGTTATAAGAATTATAGAATCAATTTTCAGTTGTAACGATTACCAGAAACAAAGTAGACTTGCAACTAATGACATTGCTCAAGAATTTGCAACATATCTAATTAATGTAATTTGTAAGTAAGTATGAAGTGGCTATGATGCAGATTCAAATTTTTACACATTTCTGAACATCTTGAGAACTTCTGAAGCAAGTTTCTGTACAAAAATTGAGAATAATTTGTCTTGAAGTAGTGACTTGATAACTGAATGTTTCAAAACTTGAGTGAGATTTGTACCTAAACAACCAAACAATGAAAATTCATTAGAGGACACATTGCCAAGTTTAAATTTGGATCATTAAAGAAGGAAAAATTATGGATTACAATAAATAGATATTGTAATCAAGGATGAAAGTGATCTGTAAAATTATGAAAGAGTTAACAGATGAATTAAATGAATGTACAATATGTGTCATGTATAAAGTTACAACACTGATACGGGGCACGCGGTAACGTAGATGGTTGAGGCACTGTGCTACAAATCATAAGATCATGGGTTTGATTCCCAATGAGGTAATTGGATTTTTCACTTGACCTAATCCTTCCAGTCGCACTGTGGCCCTGTGGTCTACTCAGCCTCTAACAGAAATGAGTACCAGGAATATTCTTGGGGGTAAAGGGTGGCCGGTGCGTAAGGCTGACAACCTCACTGCTATTTATGAGATGATTGTCTAGAAAATGTGAGCTTCAACTTCTCACAACCCTATGGGCCTTCATGGTCTGTTACAGGGATAGTTTGACCATTTTTTACTGATAAAATGTTTATGGCCTGAAATGAATGCCCATATTTTTAAATCTGTCTTAGTTATTTCTGTGAGAGGACTGTTGTAAAGGACTGCAGGTGAAAGGAGGAGAACAGAGAGCTAAAGAATACTTGTTTTTTCTTTTGTAGGGATTCCACAGATATGAGAAGGTAATGAAAATCTATAAGGTTTCTGTGGAAGAAACATGAATCAGTGTATTTCTGGTCAAAGAGAATAATAGTTCAGGGTTGACTGGAGGATTAAATTGAATATGCTATGCTTCCGCGTATCGTAATATGGTAGTCTTACCGATCAGGATGTGGAACCTCTCTCCTAGTAGTAGTAGTAGTAGTAGTAGTAGTAGTAGTAGTAGTAGTAGTAGTAGTAGTAGTAGTAGTAGTAGTAGTAGTAGTATTAATACAGTCTGTTGTTGTTAGTAGTTAATAGTTAAGAGAATCAGTGCTGTTTGACTCATGTTTTGGTAAGGGTAATTTTTACAAATATTGTTTGTTTAAGAAATCAATATTCTGTTGACATTTGTAAAGGTCTTTGTTGTCTGTCATGCACCATAAAGAGAAACTGGACTGGTTCATGAACATGGAACGATGTGGATTCAGTCTTCATGCTGGTGTATTGCTTGCACTGCAAACTGAAATCACATGTAGGGAAACAGATTGAGCAGGTTGTAATGTTACTGGTTGGTTTTGTTGTTTTCGTTAGACAGCAACGGTTAAGCAGAACAGATCTCGATGTATATAGCTCCGAGTAATCAAAAGACCCTTTTGCAATTTGTGAATAATCCTGATGATAATGGCCTTCCTATGAGGACTAAAAATTCACATATCGTCTTGAGTTGTTGACAAAAAATGAAGAAGCTGTTATATTAGAATTGTCAGGAAAATGATTCATAGGCTTGCAGAATTGGATATACATTTACCAGGCAGGATCTTTAAAAGAAGTCAGAATGGATCCATACTGCAAAATGAAGGTGAACATATTAAGGAAGTATTCTTTCTAAACATGACAGTTACAGATTATTCTAAATAACAGTAATGAAGTATATTGAAACAGTTTCTTAATACTGTACACTGAATGGATTTACATCATCCACACAGAGCCACTTCCATATATTTAGGAATATATTTGGATTTCCCACTGGCATATGAATAGCAGAGGTACTTTGAAAACAGAGTCTAGTATCTTTGTAATGGTATAACAGTATGCATCAAGAGCTGGTGATGACACAGTGTGGTTGCTCCTCTGTAACAACTCTAATAACCAATTTTTCTACCTCAGGATAGGTATACTTGAAAGTTTTAAAAGAAATTTGAAGTGACTTACATTGATTAATTGTTTGTATAATTTTTATACCAACTTTCATGATTTGAATATGAATTTTGTTCTGTATGTGATATATCCAGAATCAGAATGAAAATTTATGCATCTTAAGTTTATTGGTATCATAAAAGCATGAAACTAAAAAAATTAGTCGAGCTTAGTCATACTGTTCCCCTGTCGTGTTTATTTCGCAACGTTGGGGACACCATTGTGCAGGAGAGTAACTTCAGTAATTCTGCTTTTGTAGGACTATGTAGAAACTCTGCCTTTTGCTGCTTCAAGCAACAGCAGTAAAGTAAAAATAAAGTTGTTCCCTGTGCTTAACTAATTAACTACTACACCATGAAGGTGTATGCAGGAATGTGTATAGATCCATATTTTCTTGACTTTGACACTAGCTGGAAGTGAGTGGTAAGCTTCATGCCCCTGCCGCTTTACCCATGGGGTAAATAGGAGGCTAGATGACATAGAGAAGAGAACATTCTTGACCCTGCCAAAACTTGAACTCTGACCCCTGGGTTGTCCAGTCCAGCTATCCCAACCGGGATAGCCAGTTGCTATCCCGGCTCCAAGCAATAACAGTAAACATTTCAAATGAAAGTACATAAAACAGCTCAAATTTCTGTTGCATGGAATTTACAAATTTATATTTGTATTTCATTGTTGAGTTGTAATACCTGTAAAACTATAACGAACTGAATTTTGAGAAAATTTAGATTGAAATGATCAAGAAGCATGGATACTTGAGCTGCCCGAGGTGTTAATTGCCCGTTGGCAGCCCTGGATATATATGAATATCTTCAGATTGCTCATGACACTCCTTATTTATTGCGATATTTAACACACATTTGTGTAAGTCACTGTCACGGCGTGGATTCACTTTGCACTTAAGAGATGGTAATAAAAATTCAGGTCTCCCATAACAATATCAAAATTCCTAAAAACTAAGAATTATTTGCCAAAGTGATGAAACATTTTGCTTGCACTGTTTTGAATAACCTAAGTGACATGCTTATTTTCATCACTTTTTCTGACCTTTAAAATTAAATTATATAGTTTGATAAACTTGAGCTTGAAACTTCATTTGCACCACCTGTGAGACCTACCCATGATGGTTTGCATGTTGGTTCTTTCTTCACATGTAACCTTTATGTGCCAGTCAGTTTAATATCCTCTTTAGTATGCTAAATGGGGCGTGGGGGGGGGGAGCATTGAGTTTACTACTACAGTAGGTTCATGAAGTATGTGTCCATCACAGAGCAGAGTGTAATGTGTTCAGATCACTAGAGTTCATTGTGGGCATACTCAGTTGTTGCTTTTATATCTTCTGCATCGTAGTCACTGCAGTCCACCTGATACTTCATCTGAAATGAAACCACCCTATTAGTTGTTAAGTATTGACCAAATTAATTAGTTTGTTTGACCACTTTCAAAAATGAATAACAACAATGTGTAGATGGTAGTGGGGTGGTTATTGCGATGTTGACGACAATGACAACATCGTGTCAGCTCAGTTTGAACTTTGAAGACCAAGTAATGTTGATAGTGTGTGCTTGTTTTACAGTGACATAAGTGTTACACAAGGCTTGTAGCCATTGTGAATACACTTCGCATAAGAAGTAAAGCTTGTTGTGTTATGCACAATAACTTTACACTGAAATTCCATTATGAGAGTCCAGATAGTAGAATATGTGTTTACCTGACAGTTGTGGTCCTCTGTAGCAGCATTGTATAGCTTCCAGAATGGTGTACCTGTGTTGCTTGAGAGGAACCATGAAGCTATGATACTGCAAAGGAAAGTATCAGTCAGGAAAGCTGTTCCTCACAAATGAAAATAAAGTGGAGGGTCTATTTTCAAAATATTCACATTCAGCCTTTTCCGAATGTTATATAATGTAATTGTCTTATATACCTTAAAGATGAAATTCTCAGATTATGATATATAGAAAATATTACTTCCCAGATTCTACTACAGTGAGCAGAAGTTTTCACATGGATTGAGGGAGTTGTAACCAGATTACAAACAGAGTGACAGAATGAAATGAAGAAGAGTGTCAGGAATGTGGCACCATGTAATTTGGCAGATAGGTTACATCTTTTTAGAGGACCCTGAAGAAGGAATAAAATCCAAAATAAGGATATCAGTAAACATCGGAAGATACAAATACTACAAGCTAAACTGCTCTTAATTAATGATGCAGTTGTGTGGATATGTGTTACGTGTGGATGTCACCAACTGAGGATAGATGTTAGCTTAAAAATATAAGAGGGGGAAGAAGTGGAGAGAGATAGAAGAGACTCGCATATGGCAGGACAGAAACAGAGGAGGTTTCGACATAAAATTGCCCATCCAGGCGGAACCGTCAATGGATGAAAATTGCAGTATCTGCCAAATTATAGGAACTCACCTTGCAAGTTTTGTAGTGCCTGGCCTAAGGCCGGCACCCTGATCTGCTGAAGGGTCCTGTTGGTTCACAGCACAGATAACATAACGGTCACACTGAGGGTGCCTGGTTCCATAGCGATATGCTCGCCACACTCGTAGCATGGGCTCTATGACTTCTCCATTAAGTGTCTCCGACAGCTTGCTCTCAATCTCATGTGAATTGAGGTTTGATAGACTTAGACCCTTGCTCTGTCCCATCTTCAGCACCTCCTGTAAAGTTTACATGTTAAGATGAAATTCCTCTGAGCACTATATTTCGAAATAACATAGGAAACATGAACTTAAAGATTTATATATTCTGGACCTGAGCATTAGATTTACATAGTTCAGTGATATGTTTCCTTGTAAGTTTCTTTACCACCTAAAGAAGGAGACTTGTACTCATTTTATAGATTGTACTGATGAAAACTAGCAGCCCCTCTAGTAGGATTTAAGCCCTTGCTGTTAGCTTTGTCAATCCACTCACTGTATATAATATATACCTGACAGTGGCCTTATGTGGCTGAAATATGTCGTTGACTAAGAGGTGACCCAACCAATGACTGGTGAAGCTGAACTGAAGACTATTGTGTGTTTGTATGTATCAAGTGAGTAAAGTTCTGCAGTAGGATGTTTAAATTCAATATAAAGAAACACAATTTTAACTTATTCACTGGTATTGTAGTTCACCTCATCCTGTGACAGTGAAGCCTACTCCCTAACAATCTAAATCATCTCCCTCTGATAGAATATGAAGGTTTAGCTCCGCTGATATAAATATGTGACCACTGTACAGAATCCTGAGCAAGTTTTCTCTCCAGTGCTCATCCATATAACTTATTTTCCATAATGTATGCTAATCTGCCCACTGTCTTCCCAGAAGTTTTCCTACCAGAATTTTATGTGCATTTATTGTCCTCCCCGCTCAAGCTACATGCGTAGCTTCTCGTAACCTGCTTACAAATGACACTTGATCAAAATGGCTCTAAGAAGATAACTGTTCTGAGTTGTTACCAATGTTTTGTGCTTTTCCTCAGGCCTTTCAAACAAATTCCTTTAAAGTAAGATGTGTCTGATTCCTTCCTTATGCTTTGCAATTTGCCGTCACGAAGCAAACTGACAGTTCTACAAAGGATGAGAGGCCTTGACAGGCCAAGGAACTGATGGATGAAAGTCAAAGTAATTTAGTAGTACAAAGGGGAATTTGGAAGGAGGATGAGATGGGAAGGACATGCAGCACTAATGAGGGGAGGAGGAATGCATATAGGATATTGGTTGGAAAGCCCGAAGGAAAGAGACTACTAAGAAGACCAAAGTATAGGTGGATGGACAATATTAAAATGGATCTTAGAGAGACAGAATGGGATGGTATGTATTGGATTGATCTGGCTCAGGATAGGGACCAGTGGAGGGCTCTTGTGAACACGGTAATGAACTTTCGGGTTCCATAAAATGTTGGGAATTTCTTGAGTGGCTGCATAATTGGCGGCTTCTCAAGAAGGGCTCGGCTCCGTGATTGAGTGAATGAAATGGAATTTGGGGTTCCTTCCTTAGTACGAATGTACGTATGTCACTTAGGGAACAAAGCGTATAAAACATGAAAGGGGCTAGTTGATAACACCGTGACGGTTACCTGAACGTATGCGATAGCAGGTTTAATGTAGGTGGCGGAGTTCACTTTAAGGCCAAATTGGCGCTTGAACACTGCGTTTACCAGGTGACTCAGAGACTCTGCAGGCCGCTGCGGATCAAAGAGTTGCCCCTTGTGGTATCCCTGAGCTTTAAGAAACCCATTGCCGACGAACTGTAGCGTCGCCAGGTACCTGAGAAAATAATTACATATGACCTTTTAGTTCATACTGAAACATTCCATTAGTTTTGAAAGGACTGTCAGCAATTTTAATGCACGGTAAGAAGAGTAACCTAAGGCAAGTTATGTAAGGTTTCGTTGCAGTCTTCGGGTCTATCACATCTTGATTAATTTCAGTTATTGAACTTCTTTACGGCCATATCAGAGAATGATACTTGTTGAATGATTTATACAGTCTATATTTAAAATTAGGCTCAATCACTAAAAATTGTGCCCATAAATTCGGCCACAGAAAATTATTAATTACTATAAAGCAAAAAGTACACAGTTTATTGCTATATTTATATGCATAATTTATATTATTGCAGATTTACACTACACGGTTGGGTGTAATTTACAACGCTTTGCATTGAACATTTAGATTAAGTGGTTAGAAACATTGGGAGAGGGGGGGGGTTGGATTCCGGGTCCGAATCTTAGTCCAGAGGCTTCATATCTGGAATGAAGGTTTTCATTTTTCCTCCATATGCCAAGTCAGTTGCCTGATATATGACTCCCTGTTTTTATGCCGTTATTATGCGTTACCATTCGGCCTACCGCTCGACTCTAAACAAGTTAAGCTCCTTTAGATAAAAACCAAGAATCAAACCAAAAACTTTATTCCGTCTTCAGGTTTTCAGTTTTTTGCATGCAAGAACAGTTCTTACGTATCCATCCATACCGAATTTCAGTGCTCGGGCTCTCAAACGGTAATCTCTGTATAGATTCCACCCAATCCTGTATGGCCTTACATTTGAGAACATCTTCCTTAACTAGAATAGTATACATTTCAAACATTGTTACGCAACATTACCTAGTATTATTTCCTCTATTTTGGAAGATAACCGCCTTGGTAAGTCTAACACTATTGACAGGAAATAGAAAATGCAGTGGTGAAGTAGCGTAGTGAAGTAACTTAGTTTTCACGAAAAAAAAAACAGCCTATTTTTTCAAGCATTACTAGGTAGAATTGATAGACATGTCATATACCAAACGTAAACGTAAAAGAGAAAACGTTGCTCTAGGGCTTAATGGTTTAGATTTTAAAAATTGCTTTCCTGGGTTTCATGTTTTGCGCTTTTGCTGAGACACCTATACGTGTTACCTAGGAAATTGATATTTCGTCATGTGTATACCGGGTCTGGGGCCCATCCAGCCCCTTTTAATGCCTTGGGCTGTTTTCTAAGGATTCATTCGTCCGAGATGTAAAATTAACTACTCTCCTTCATCTAATTCCTAGTCATAATTTCTATCTGAAATATTCTCACTATTGAACGAACTACAAGGAAACCCAATTTAAATCTGCACCCGGTGTGGAAGTGGCGGTTCAGAACTGGGTAATGCTCAGGGGTCGGTTCAGAATCCTGAGTAACTGTGAACATGTACTACTATGAATGGAATTATTACAATGCACATTCTCGTTACTGGGCACAAAGAAACAAAAAAGCAGTAGACCTAGGCAGATAGCGTATCCTCGCATGTCCTCATATCCAGCCCGGACTGCGATGTGAAGGCGGTCCCTGAACCAGAACTATCAAACTGTTGCCAAGACCTGACGGCAGTGCGTGCTTAAGAGACGGGGGAACGGAACTGATACGAACACTTACATGAGTCATGTTTCTTGACGTAATTGTAACTTTCCACGTGCTGCTTGTCATTTTGTTCGTTATCACCACCTTAACCGGTTTATGGAAAATTTCAGATATTAATACAAATAAAACTATGCATTTCTTATTGTGATTCTTTTGGTTATTATACCGTATGTTCTATTAGATGTGCATCGACGCCTCCAAGAAACACATGCCTTCACTTTTAGGGACGGTGTCAGTATGTTCCTCCGAAATGTTGATGCCCATTTACCAGAGGACACGGTATCATAACCCGGAAGTCTTCAGTCACCTGGGAAACTTTGAGTTTTACATAGTCTGCAGTTTATTTCTTTTAATGCTAGTGCTGTGGGACTAAGTCCCTTGTACTGCGGCCACTTCTGGCCGCTTGTACCAGCCCCAGATGATAGGTGAGGATGATTGTGGTGCAATTGGTGGAATGAAGATTGGCAAGGGAAACCGAAGTACTCTGAGAAAACCTACCCCAGCGCCACTTTGTCCACCACAAATCCCACTTGACCAGACCCGGGATCGAACCCGGGCCCCCGCGGTGGGGTACCAGCGACTAACCGCTTGAGCTATGGCGCGGCCTTGTCTGCAGTTTAACTATCCTTATGTTACTAATGTTCTCAGTCGGTGTGACGGCTGGCTACGGTCTGGGGCAAGAGATTTTCTCTACACCGCAGCGTCCAAACCGGCTCTGCTGCCCATGCAGCCTTTTATCCAGTGGGTACTGGGGACTTTCCCTGGGGATAAAGTGGCAGGAGCCAGAAGCTGGCCACTCACGCCCATCTAGTTCGGAGGTCAAGAATGGTGGAGGTACACCTCCACTCCCCATACGTCTCCATGGCGTGGTGCTTAATTAAGTAAACACGGACAATTTTGCCTTTTACCTTTGTGTTACTAGTGTAAGAACATGGAGGAGGGCGTTGAGAGTGACATTGCGACGTAACATGAAGGAAATAACTTAAAGGTGTGGAGACATGCATAATGTGGAGCTTCATAATGTGTAGGACACTCTTCGCATATTCTTAGATCGACTAAATGAAGAAGTACGAGATGAGCGGGCGAATCATTGCGGTCGACATGTTAGAGTTTCTGCCCCATGTCCGGGGCGGTTAGGGGGGTCATCAGATTGAAAACTTGAGCCGAAGGCAGGCCATGTGAGCTGAGGTTTTCGTGACTTTCCAATGCATGTACTTCAAGTAGATCACAGCCAGCCGGTCACGGTAGTCGAGCGGTCTAAGGCATGCACTGTCTTCGCTCGCTTGGAAGCCGGGATCGTGGGTTCGAATCCCACTCAGGGCATGGATGTTTAGTTTGTGCGTGTACGTTTTTCTGTGTTTGTGTACAGGTAGAGACCTTGCGACGAGCTGATCACTCGCCCAAGGAGTCCTACCGTATGTGTAAGATCTAGAAAAACCGAAGTGAACGGAGTTCATGGAGGTAGACCTAGGCCCACTGGGGCTGTAGTGCCAAGGAGGGGGGAAAAAAAAGATAACAGGCAGCGTTTCCTTAAACGTTTCCAATTCAGAATGATCCTGCCACTCTGTTTCATAACCACTGCAGTTGTCAAAGAGTCGAAGAAATTTCAATCAAGAGGAAGTCATGTAGCACGTATGAGGAAGTGAAAAGTCGATATAGAATTTAATGGGAAATCAGCGGGAATAGATTTGACTTTGGAAGCTTTAATAGGTGGTAGGATGTTAAAATAGATCTCAGAGAAACATATGAAGGTGAAGTAGTGTAGTTTGAATTGGCCCAGCGCAGGAAACAGTTTCAGGTTCTTGTGAATAGGATAAAACTTCGGGTTAAGTGGCAGGCTGGTACTTTTAAACTTCGGAAGCACGGCCGCACCATACCTCAAGCGGTTAGTCGCTGGCTTCCCACCGCGGCGGCCCGGGTTCGATCCCGGGGTCTGATCAAGTGGGATTTGTGGTGGACAAAGTGGCGCTGGGGCAGGTTTTCTCCGAGTACTTCGGTTTCCCCTGCCAATCTTCATTCCACCAATTGCTCCACAATCACCCTCACCTATCATCTGGGGCTGGTACAATAGGCTAGAAGTAGCCGCAGTACAAGGGACTTAGTCCCACCCCACTAGCAATAAAAAATATATATAGTCTTACCTGGCCTGAGTAGCGGGGTCTGAAATGTGCGCTATCCATTCCGCTACGAAGCTAGTGAGACTCTTGACCCAACGTCTGCGGAAGGACGCATTTTCTAGAGACCCAAAAATGCGCTCCATTTCGAAGTGTCCATCCTCATCAGTGAAGAGCTTGACCGTTGCTTCAAGCCCGCTGTTGTGCCATAGGGTCTGCCCCAACTCGGAGCTCTTAAAGTGGTCCCAGTAGTCATAGAGTGTCTCCATGAAAGGGGGAAGATATGACGTCGCTTTGTGCTGCTGATGTTTGTTATGGATCTTCTTCACTTGATTGCCACTTTCACTTCCACCCAGTAACATAGGCAGCATATTCAAAACAGTCTCCCACCCGCCACCCGTTCCGCCTTGTGCTGCCATGAAATTAGACGCTAAACCCATCACAGAGTCCCAGTCAATCCCAGCATCATTCCCACCGTCCGTCTTTCTGTTCTGCCCCTTCTTTATGTCGTTGTTATTAATGTCAACATTGCTGTTAGCGTTCCCATCACCGTTATCACCACTTACGGCCTGATTGGCAAACATGCTTACCATCTGACCAATTAACTGAGGGTCAAATCCACCTTCGTTACTCTTGCCCTGACCCCCAGTTGCTGCCGACAAGATGGAACCTAGCCCTGATAATATATCTACAGCATTGGCACCATTGTTGGGTTTGGTAGCTCCCATTAGCATGTCTCCTATATTCCGGCCTCCATCGGACTGCATGAAGTTCTGCAACAGGCCAGATACAGCTTCAGCTGCACCTCCTCCGCCTTGACTCTGCAGCTGCTCTTGTAACAACGATTTCGCAGCTTCGATTAGAGGATTCGGTTCTTCCCCTGCAGGATCTGTTTTGGCTCTTTGTGCAGTTGTTAAAGTCGTTATTACACCTAAAAGAACTATATGTAAAAACCTTAAATCTGTCTTCTTTAAGTTTCCCATCCTTAGAATTTATATTGTATCAGTAATAGCTTTGTAAACGGAAGATGTATTTAAAGTAAATGTCTGAGCTGGTACGCCTGTGTCATGTGAATAACATCCTTTCAGACTATCATATGTAAGAGGCTCCAGTTATTAAATTGGATGCCTTAAAGTTTACCAAACACAATTATTGAAGAAATAATGTTACGAAAATAACAATAAGTAAATTATAAAATTGAAGGTTGATTAATGCACTTTTCCTTTTTTATCACAAATTGCACCTCTCCTCGACAAGCTAAAACTTGATGTGAAGGGTTTCACTTTTTACTGAAGAAGATTACGTGTCAAAGCGAAAACAGGATGAACCGTCCGCGTACCGAGCCAGTACACGTCTGTCTTCTTGCCCAGGTGTAGGCCGACTGCAACTGGCATAGCGGTGCCCATCAAATTCCAGCTGGGTCTGTTACTTACAGCGCGAGGATATACGCTGGGTCAACTTGTTTTCAGTCTCCAGTGTCGGATCAGGCAGAAGTACGCGGGAAATGTTTTCCCAACAGTTTTCCGTACCCCTCCAGTTTTATATAATCTCCCACACTTTATTTGCATTTGCTAATTTAGGTCAGTAATCGGGTTATTTAAATTTGAAGTATTCTGTGCCTAGTTCTTTATACACATTCTGGCAAGGAGGTGAGATATAAGGTAGGTGCTTTTGGAAAGTGAAGGCGCAGGCGGGGAAACACTTCACGAATTCTTCCGAGATTGGGCAGGAACATTTTATAGCTTGGTGTAGGTGCAGAGAGGCTGTAAAGCTATTTAGGTTCCTGCTGTCACCGTACAGCCTGATAAGGACCTGCAACAGTGTGCAGAACTGCACTTTCCGTGACTGTACAGGAACATTTTATAGCTTGTGTAGGTCCAGAGTGCCTGAAAAGCTGTTTAGGTTTCTATTGACACCGTACAGACTGATAGGAAACTTCGACAGTGTGCAGAACTACACTTTTCGCTGACCGGCAGAGATGGGTGTAGGGGTCGCGTTGTTACGCAGTTGGAAAACTCTTGACGTAGGATAAAAATGTCTTATGGGCGAGACATGTAGCAAGCATATATAAAATAGGAGATCAGAAAACACCAAAGAAAAAGATAACTTGAGAGATCTAGACATCGATTTGAGGAATGTTGCACTAGTATAAATTTCGGGCGTAGATAAATAGGAAGTGATGATGTGGAGTAGATGAAACTGTCTCAGGTTTTGGATCAGTTACAGCCTTTTATAAACAGGGCGACGAACTTCCGGGATGCATAAATACGGCGACACTCTTGGCGAAAAGTTCAACTTGCTCGGCTTCATCATTTTCTCTGGAAACGTGCTCTGCTAGGGGAGGTGGTTAAACTTTAGCTCTTTCTCAATATGGCAAGAATTTATTTTCATCTATAAATGGTTAAAAAATTTTAACGTCAGATTTCATCAGATTCAGTTCACTGAGGGCGGAGTTCTGTCATATAGTCGGATAGAATGACGTACGGACGATTTCGTTCCTTGACTAATGTACCACCTCAACTAACTAAATTAATTCCGTAGAGATGAATCATGCTTGAGAATATAACAGTACTTAACTAGTTACTATAGGATTCTGACGATGGTGTATAACACACTGATATATTGGGGTTTTTGGACTTTATCCATTGTCCTGGTTTTTAAGATAAGTAATAAAAACACGACGTTTCGGAACTGGATCTGTTTCCGTCCTCAGGTGAAGGAAAACACCTATTCTGTTGGGTACGTTAGTAAGAGCTAGCCTCAATCACTTGACCTGAGGACGGAAACAGATCCAGTTTCCGAAACGTCGTGTTTTTATTAGTTATCTTAAAAACCAGGACGATGAATAAAGTCCAAAAACCCAATATATCAGAGTACTTAACTACTCAAGAAATCCCTTTCTATCATGGAACTCGACGATATAATATATTTCGTAACACTCTGTGTCTTTACAGTGATGACTTGTTAGACTCTGTCAAAGCCCCTGCTAGGAAGACCATTCCTTGTCGGCTGTCCGCGACCGTTTATTCAGTAAATTCGCAAATGCCCTTGACATCTTGTAGGTGTCTCCATCGTCGGCAACCTGAGGACGTGCCGTGCCGTGGCAGCAGGTGTCACACTTGACATGCATTGCCCTTGTCGAAGAAACTGACGAATAACTGTTTTCAATTCAAACCACATTCCAGAATCACATTTCTAAACTACCCTTGAAAAAAAAAAACTGGTCACGGGATTCGATCTCAGTACGAAAGCTGACCGTGAACTGTCTGGCACGTTTGACGTTTAATTCGCGTTCAAACCCATTTCACTTTCCAAGCTTGTGGCTGTATCTCTCGAACTCATTCCTCAGGATAATGGGCATAACACGCCGTTGCGCTCAAAACTTGAACATAAATTCGAGCCACTGGAAAACATTTGACGGGAGACCATTGAAAGTGACACGTTATCTGCACTGAGTGCAACAGCGGCATAACAGACAGCTGTTTTACTTCCTGGATAAAGGAAGGCAAGAGGTTCGGAGAATAATGAGCAGTTCATACGCATTTAATGTTACGCTCTTCATATAGCCTTGAAAAAACTCCGTGACATGTAGTCCGCAAGCGAACTATACCGACCGAGCGACCGCCTCTTGTCGGTGAAGTTAGTGCCAACTTTTGCGGATAGAGTGTGTCGCGTCGTCAGTGCAACGAATCCCCAGGGACGTTAATTTCGGTTTTTTACACCGGAGCCGCTATTTCCTTGAAATAGCTCCTCAATTATCCTCACGAGACTGAGTGAACCCCGTTCCAGACCCACTACTTTTCAGAAAATCTGGTAGCGATGGGAATCGAACCCGGACCTCGAGATTTGTAGCCAGGAACTCTGACCACTATACCACAGAGGCGGTCCACATACTTTTGAATCTTAAGTTATTTAAAGATGCTGTTTCAACTGAATAAACGATAGACCTGTAGCGTCGAATGAGATAGGAAGGCGACTATGAATTATAAGTAGATAGGATTTGGAAGGAGACTGTCAGGTCACATTTCAAGTCACTAATCGCGGCATTTGCCCAGAGAAACTAATGAAAATCTCCAAGAATTTTAGTAATTTCATTTTCTGGTTCTTTCAACCGCGCTGCTGTGGAATGTTGATGGAAGGAATTGTGAATTTTGTGTTGTAGAAAATAAGAGAGGGTGCGGTAACGGCCTAATTCAGGGCGCTATCCTAACACATTCCTATGTGGTCTTCTGGCCCTTATTTGAACCCAGAATCTTCAAATTACGGAACAGAACTGTCATATAGGCTCACCGCAGATTTACATATCTTCTGTTTAGGTCTATGCGCAACATGTCCGAGTTCTGTTTCCGCATTAAATGTAGGATTTCTGGTATCTGTAGCAGTGCAATAGCAGTTACAATGGGAGATCATATCCAGTATTCATATACCGTAATTAATGGTACTGTGATTTAAAATTGGGGTCTTGCGGTAGAATAGTTGGTTGAGGCACAAGCTAAAAGGTCGCGGGTTTAAGTCCCAGGGTGGTTACTGGATTTTTCGATTGACCTAACCCTTCAAGCCGCACTATGGCCGTGGGGGTCGACTCAGCCTTTATCAGAAATGAGTACCAGGAATCTTCCTGGGGGTAAGGGGCGGCCAGCGCTTAAGGCTGACAAACCGCCATTGTCTAGAAAATGTGAGAGCCTCGATGTCTCACAACATTATGGGGCTTCACGGCCTGTTACAGGGATAACTTTATTTTTTGGAAAGCTGTCTAGCACATACGAAATAGTAGGGGATGTTTGTTACATGGAATTACAACACTGAAATATATAGATTGGTTGAATCTTCTTCCAACGAAACCCATCACATGACTAATTCATTATTTTGAAGTAACTTTGATTTGTAACAGGCCACGATGCGTTGAAAAGATGAACAGGATCACTAAATTGTATGCTTAACATCGCGGCCATGTGGTTGGCAATCCTGCTTCGTATTTTGGATGTCCCTGTTTCAAATCTCAGCCAGGGGACAGGCTGTCCTCAGTCCCTCCAGGAAAGCTCTGCTATAACACCTGAAATTGGGCTACTTCCACATTCTTTCCAGTTATACTAATTATCAGGGGCGGGAAAGTAAGAAGGAATGTACCATGAAATTAGGTATTGCCGCGCTACTGACAGAGGCTTTGAATAAATAAAAAATAAATAATATAAATTGCATGTTTATTTGTTTATAATTTAGGCTAGCCTCTGTACATATACCGAAGCTTTAGTGGTAATTAGTAGTTGTACGTTTTCCAAAATTATTTATTATTCATCGACAACTTTGTCTTCTTTCGCGTGTTTCCTTTTGATGTTACCTAACTGATATGACGTCCTTTAAAAATGTTCAAATAATCCAGTTCCCCTCGTTAGAGCTCCTAAACCTGAAGGTCATATCTCGAGGTCACTTCGGAGGCTTCCATTCTAGCTTTCCTGATTCAACCGCTGCTTTCCCACCTCCTGACGTTGTTGCGCCACCTTTGCTCGCACAGGAGAACATTTCCACTGCCTGCCTATCTCCAGGTCGAGTAACTGTTTCGTCTGCCATTGACCTCTCAAGATTTCACCTTGCTGCTATAGTACAAGACAAACAGTAAGGCGTTTCCTTCCTTGCCAGCACATATTGACAATTCTCAACCGATATATGTAATATTTTGCTGGTAAAAGGATTCTTCTTCTTCAATGAGGTTTATCCGAGGTGCGATGATTGCTAGTTGAAACCCCCTCGTTGGTGTCTCCACCTTATCGTGGTGAGGGGGTTTGAGTATGCCAAGGACCCTGAGAGCTATACCAGCGGTAGCGTAGCTACTGGCAGGGCCTCCCTTGCTGGACAGGTCAAAGGGTAGACATCAGACGAAGAGAAACACCAAAAACCAAAAACTGATGCCGGAAGCAGCGTCATCAGCAGCGACTTGAAGCACAGAGCAAATGATGCTCGAGATGGTTCAAGTTCGTATAGCAACAGGCGTGACCAGAGTGGTTTGAACGGCTGTTGTACTGCGATGTGGAAAGAAAATGGAAAAACTACCACATTATGACTTTTCCTGGATAGTCTCTTTCCAAAAACAGAAGATCGCATTATGTGGAGGAACTGTTTTGGAAGAGACTGTGGTCCTGTCGTCTGACAGATTACTGATGAATGAATATGTATTTGCGAGAACATTGTTAAGTTGATTTTGTAACGAACAGTTGTATTTCTTTTCGACAATAATTTTATATTTGTATACAATGACTGACACTATTTAAAGCACAGGTAGATTTTTGTTATAAAGTTGTGTTCTCTATTCTGATTTTAGTGAGACGTGAAATGAAAATGCTTGTCTCAAGTGCGCTGAGAGCACTGACAGTTGA